GAGGTACAGTTAGGGTACAAGGAAAGATAGTGGAGTATCTCTGCTGATTAAAAAAAGAATTCCCAGAACCCAAGATGACATCTTCACATTGTTTTGTACAATCAACAGTCCAAAACATATTCTCTTTGCAAAGACTTACAACAAAGAAAATCGGCAAATCCTCACATTTGAGAAGCTGGAACCAGTGAACATTTGACATTTTTGCTCGACAAACAACTCAAATGAAAAATCAATTTCCAAAATTGCTGTCAGTTAATATTATGTTGACCAACTAATCACGGAGTCAACTTATTGTTTCAGGACTATAGCAAAGGGAGAATGCCACCCAACAAAACTGCTATGAAAAGGACAGGAAAGGTTTAGTAAATATAATCATTCTTGTATTTTTTGTGAAAATCTGTAAACTCTCTCTGTCAAATGTTGATGGCATGAGAATAAATGTAGAAAATTACCCTTAAAAGCATAAGTCTTTCTAAAACTGGACAAAACATTCTTCATTCAAGCAGTGAATAGTTGTGAGTCACACTGACCATGATGTTCTATTCATTCAAAACAAATGACAAAAATGTCTTAATGAAGGGATAAACTATGTGAGTAACTAGTGGGGCCGGAGTTAGCTGACCATGTATTTCCTGTCCAGTCTGGGTTTAGGAGCACAGTAATTATGAAGATGCTAATGGGTCTGACAGTTAGGAGTCCTAGAAAAGCTTCAAATGTCTCTTTAATTAGACGGCACCCTGAAGACATCTTGTGTGGCATCATCATTCAAAACTACGTTTGGCCTGAATCTCCACATAATAGTCTTTTTTCATTAAAGCCTCACATCCATGACACATAAACCCTAAAGAGCTGGTTCATCAGCACCTCCCACAAGTTCATCAAAACCTTCAAAATCTTTCTAAATTGAGCCCCTCACAGTTTAGCTCACAAGATTCAAAACATACATGTTTATTCATATTGATTTTAAAATCCAACATTATTTCCTGCTTGGTTGATCGACGTTTTGATGGCCACGCTCACAAAGCCACTTTAATGTTGTCATTAGTTATGCTTCTCTGGTGGCCAAAAGATGGATCCCTAAGTCGCGGGATCCAATAAGGTTGTATATGAATGGTTGGAGGAGATAAACTACATCAAATAAATTAAAGAAAGACTCATTCACTGATGGAAGACGGGAGGAACAGTCTGTTAATTAAAAATATGAAAATGAACAAAATCTCTTACACAGTTTAAGGCCCATCTGAACAGCTACAGTAATTCTCTCTGCACCTTATATGAACTTCATTTAATAAACAGGAAGCAGAAAAGTAGCCTAAACCAATTTCTTTATTATTTTCATGGGCAGAATCTGCTTTTGCACATGTTAAATATGAAAATAATATTTTGCATTCATATGTATAACAAAAAGAGATAACTTGATCATTCTTACTTTAATATTCAGTTGGTTACATGAAAATAAATCCCTAGTATATTTATTTATTTTGATTCTCCTAACTAAAAGATGGTCTTATTTACAGATTGCCTAAATTAAAATAGTCTCGTTTGACTATGATGCTTTGTGACAGAAGAGAAAAGGCAGTTGACCTGTAGATATAAGGTCAACAGCTAGTAGTACAAAAACACTTAAGCAATATTATTTTATCATTATGTTAATGGAAAACAAGCACAATAAAAAAACTGTACGTAAAATTTATGTAAAAGAGACTGTTCGGGTAAGTCCAATGAGATTCAAAGTGTAGTGACAGTTATTGACATTGACAGTTACTTTAGTTGCCCACTTTTTACACAGCCAACCAGTTAAAGTGTTAGAAACTATTGCTACTTTCATTTTGTTTGATACAAATAAACTTGGCAAAGTGGAAATTTGTATTTGTTTGTTTTTTTTCTAATTTTATTTATTAGTTTTTGGTGACTTTTAGTACTTGTGTTTAGTCAGTATGCTGTATTGATCCATCCATCCATCCATCCATCCATCGTCAACCGCTTATCCTGCGTACAGGGTTGTGGGGTGCTGTATTGATGTAGTCAGTAATTTGCTGAGATATTTTTTCCTTACTACTTCTCATTATAGGATTTACAATTTGTATTATGTGGACATGTTGCTAGTATATGTGGGGAAGGATAGGTGTGTACATGTTGCTGCCATCAGATTGTTACTCCTTAGTGTTGTATTTTTGCTTTGTTAAAGAGTGTTGCATTTCCATACCAAGACATGATTCGTGCCATAGATGTATTATCTGATAACATGGAACGAACTTGTCTTTTCAGCTTCCTTCTGTCCTAAGAGTCAGACAGACCAACTCACAAGTCTAGACTCTGAGAATATGACAGCCTTAATAGGCCTTTTTCATCGGAGGACATTTTGACATGTCACAGTAGGAAAACCAAAGATATAAATAATAAAATGGCTTAATTCCATTTAACTGCTTCAGTTTCAGGGTCCTAGTATTGTGCGTGCTGGCTCACTGTCACACTGACATGACTTAGGGACTGTATGAAAATGATTAATTTTTATAAAATGAAATACAGGATCCAGCAACTTTTCTCAATAACTTTCATGCAGTCCCTTACTGGGACAGTTAAATTTAACAGACCCATTGTTAATTTTTCTACTATGACGTATCAAAATGTCTGCTTAGAATGATTTCACTGCCCTTGTCATGCCTTGTTCAGACTACACCATATCAGCCCGATAATAGCCTGACCCAGCAGATGCAGGGTTTCAGGACAAAAAAATGAGCGTTGGATGCAAAAATTGATAGTGGATGACTCCATTCCCAACTGACAAGAAATGTTTTTTTTTTTCTTTCTTTTTTTAGGCTTTTCCTAATGCAAGACAACTTGTACCATACACACTGCTTCGGAAGTCAGCCCCTATAGCACCTCCTTCCTGATGTCATTACGCAGGTCATGAAAGGCAAGCTATGGTTGGTCGGAGACCAGGGTGTAGTTTGTCATGTCTCTCGGCCAAGGCACGACAGGAATTTACGATACTATAATCGTCTAATCTGACAAAGTGACCATCTTAACAGACAAAAATATTGCCTAGTTTGAACCACCAGCTGCTACAGCACACATGAATTAAACTCATGAACCTCTAAACAACATCAGTAAGTTACTCTGTCAGAAAGGACTTTGAAAGCAGCCAGATATTAAATTTAGATCTAGTCTTTGTTTTAATTAGTACAGTATATTACACACTGCCAGGGGCTAAAGCTGCATACTGAATTAAATGGACCACCTTCTATGTTGTGCCTAGGTATAAAATGATCAGTTGCTATTGATCAATAATTTAGACAAGTGCTAGATTATTGACAGAAAGACAAAATATGTTAGGCCGGCTATGTTTGAGAAATCCCCCCATACACTCAATCACTGGAACAGAAATTGCTCCATGGTATATAATAACGCAGCAATGTTTCTTTCCCCCCCTGCAGATCAATGCTAATTGAGGTCCTACATGATGAATGTAGTCTGAAATGTTTTTAACCCACTGAGTGCTGAGCAGCAGCAAGAATGGGCTGCTGTTGGACTACTAAACACTGCACGTTACTTATACTAATTATTATACAGATGAGAGCGTTGTTCTTTTTTATTTAAGTGTGTGTTAGAGTAAATTGCATTTCCCTCTCAAAGCATTTGTTCTAGCTTGCTTAAAATGTTCAATTTGGGAAAATATGGGCATCTACCGCATGATATGCAGTGTGAGATGCTTTATAAATTGAAATTTCAAGATTTACTTTATAACTAATGACACTGTGATGTCTCCTCGGAGGCACAGCAGTACAATATGATGATCAGCACAGCTAACAGAAGGATGCTGGTCGATCCCTGAAGCCCCACCAAACACAACTCTCCATTGGTGCAAATTCAGCTTGTGGACAGCACGCAGCAGATGGGGTAAACCATGCCATCAAGTGGAAAATAGACCTGTTGTGTTGTCACAGAGACAAGTTACAAGATAGTCTGCCAATCGGACCACCAGAGGAAACTGTACAAAGCATTTTTAACACGTAGAGCAACATAGGGGAAGCATTACTTCATATTGTGCATTCACTGCATCAAGTGTTAATAAAATCATAAAGCCGATGTTGTTTTCACAATCTGCCTAAGCAAAGAACATTAGACTTGTTCTCTAAACCTTAGCATTTTGGGCAGACTGTATACACCTGACACTGTATCCTGACATAATATTTTAGACTATACCTATAGTTCAGAAGTTATGCAGCCTCTCAAACAACAGAATTAAAACAGACGACTACCCTGATTCATTGCTGCCACCTTGTGTCAGTTTGAGTCATAAAACATCAGTGCACTGAATAGGCGAACCTCATCTTTAAGCACACTTCAAGGGTATGAAAACATCTTGTCTGACAATCAATGGAATTAGGGGGATTAAAGGAATCCTGCTATTCACAGCAGGTCACAGATGTGAGCTGAATTATGATAATTTTCATTGATTAAGAAGCTAAAAGAACAAGTATGTCTGGCTCATTATTTTGAACATTTTTTATATATTTAATCGGTCAAGAACAGATGGAAAAACAACTTTGCCCCTTAATTTGCCTAAAACAATGTTACTTATAATTAGATATTACTTACTCTTTGAGCTAAATGTTCTTTAGATAAAGTAGCATCCAACTGCAAGACAAGAAATCAAAATATCCTTAACAGAAAAGATGCACCGCCACCCACACTAACCTTAATAAACAGATCAGAAATTGGCCTTGACATTAACCAATCCACATTAAATAAGTTTCTTCACCAGTGTCAAAATAAATGTTTTTCCTACTAGTTACATTGATTCAGTAATGTTTCACCATCGCAGAAATCTATGTCCTCATGTAATCTTAAATAAAAATGATTTGAATAACTTAATGAGATACACAAATTTAAAAAAAAATTCCGATCCGACAGTGCAGATATCGGATCTGTAGATTCAGATACCCTGAGATAGAATAGGTATTAGGTTAGAAGAAGTTGGGTTGTGCATCCTTACGTAACAGTTAATTACATCACAGCAGACTTGTGCCTCTTTATTGCAGTGTAAACAGTCATTTCTGGATGTACTGTATTTTACAATTTAATATTTCTTATATACTTACACTGTATTACTGGGCAACAGTATTTCAACAGAGGTACTTTTTACAAAATTTGCATTTCATGGATTTAATGAGAAACAGTCATAATAAATTCCTTTACTTACTTCAAACAAATACTAAGCTATACAAGTACGCATTTATTTACAACAGATTAAAGGGTTATATATATATATATATAAAAAACATTTTCCCACCAATCTCTGGTGGCCATGCAGATAGTTTAGGCATAATAACTAATTGCAACAAGCAAGTCAAGAGTTTCCATTGGGAAGCAGTTAAAAACGGTGAGGTCCGTGCATTATCCTGAGGACCCAGGACATTCTTTCTGGAAGACACATGGTCAGCACCACAAACAGAACTGCATTCACCTTCGTTATATTGTGGTGGCAGCAGAAGTCTCAGTAGTGAAGATAAAACCTGCACAAATAAAACCCTTAGCTAGACAAAACTAATGGTGTGTGAAAAAATGCTTTTGTGTGATTTGGGTGAATTCATCCTTTAAGCTGGCACATACATGCAAAATTAAAATGTTTAATTAAACTCAAACATTTTTTTAATGTTTCTAAATGAAACATAAGATAAATGTTTCTTAAAATGTCATATCCACAAAGTACTTTGTTTAAAAACAACAAAACAATACACTGTGGACAACACACTTTGGTGAGGATTACTTCTCTATAAAGCCACATTCCTACAACACTGAATGATTAACAAATAGTGCAGTGACATATTTTGGACATGAAGCAGCAATTCTTAAAAGTGCATGGCTTTTTTCAGTCATTTGCACATGCAGACAAATTTTCTGTTCCATATTAATAAATATGATTCCAGAGAGGGGTTTTTTGTCCACATTATTTTTGCCAGTGCAAAATATCCATATCTTCTTGGATTATCTTGAGGTTTCTTAGAGACACCTGTAATAAAAGGAAGGCACCATTATCTGTTGCAAACAGACTAGTAATAAATTCATTGTGGTTGAGTTCTAGCCCTGTCTGTATATTTCACAGACATTTTCAGATATTAACATGTCAGAACCTTATACAGTAGATCTATTACCTACCTGTGAGCTCTTGTTGGACAGATAGATGGCCCTTTAGCTATATCTGGAGATTGATAAAGGGAGCAAACCCCAGCACATCCTGAAGAAGTACCAGAGCCCTCTGTAAAGGCGGCTCAACATCTATCACTACATTTCGCTTCCGTAGAGGATCCAGACTTGACTCTGTCACATTGTGACAGTGATTCACCTTCAGGGACTGCAGCTTCGGGCAGTACTCTGCAAGAGTCCTGTGAGCACAGCATGCAGAGTATCTTATGGATGGGTGCACAAGTGTGGGCACGGATGGCACAAACTTTACACTTGAAAATAAGACATGATATACCTGATGGAGTGGTTCCTGACCCGCAGGCAACCTGTCAGGTCCAGCTGCTCCAGGCCCCTGCAGTTCTTGGCCACCTCCTCCACCGACTCGTCAGTGATGTTGGCATTGACTGCCAAAGATAGAGACCTTAACTTCAAACACTTCTTGGCCAGGTAGCAGATGGCATCGTCCTTGAGCTGGCGGCAGGCGGTGAGGTCGATCGACTGCAGTCCCCCACAGTGGTCAGCCAGGCTGCGCAGGGACAGGCTGTCCACCCACTCGCAGTGAGCCAGGCCGAGGTGCTGAAGGTGCATACAGCTCAAGGACACTGCCACCAGAGAGTGGCGGGTGAGCGACAAACACCCGCTCATGTCTACTCTCTGCAGGTGCTGGTTCTGGCCGATAACTGGTAGCAGTTCCTTGTCTGTCACCCAGTCTGAACAGTTCTGAAGTGACAGGCTATGGAGAACTTTGTTGTCCTTTAACATGGAGCAAAACGCTTCCTTGGGAATGGATGGTCCAATCTGTAAATATCACAACAGAGCACACAGTAGAATTTCTCTAGAAGTTGCACTGCAGCCAACAATACCTCCTTTATATATATATATATATTATAGGCCACTGAAACTCTCACTCATCAGGACTTACCACGGACAGATCAAAAATCCTGCAGTTGGCTAGATACACCTGGATGAGGCTGTGGAACTGCTTGCTCACCCTCTGCAGGCTGACAAGGTGTTGCAGTGGTAAATGGCATAAAATATGTGGGACAAGAACATCCTCCCAGGGCAAGTCGAAAAGATCGCATCTGCTGAAGAAATGCAAACCTTGTTTTACAGCTGGACTTTGATACTGCATGCAAAGCTAAAGCGGTTTAACGGAAACAAACCTAACCTAAGCAAAATTAAATGTTAGTAACTAGCGCTTTATAAATTGCAAGAATAATGAATGTTATATCAGCCCCCACTGTAATAAATAATTATACCAAAGTTAGCAGTCATATATAAATGGGGCAACAACAACCTGCAGTTACTCGCTAGCTAAGTTATTGCTGTTAGCCGAAAAGCTAGCCTACCGGCGCTAGCAATCCAGCTGCTTTTTAAATATATATATGTATATATATAACAGCCTTTTAAAATGGCACTTACGTTTGCTTAGCTTCTTCATCCATTCTGAGTCAGTTATGTTATACAGAGTTTTTTATGGACGCGTTGTCCTTCACATAGACGCCAAAAAAGCATATTTTCCTTTAGCATCATTTAAGAATTTGAGGTGTAACCCAAACCCAATGCTGCCTTCAAGTACTGTTGGGAGACTTTACGCTGAGATCGGAATGATACAGAACCTATCCAAGAATGTTGTTAAATATACGGCGTTTAGGGAAAACAAGCGCCAAGAATTGATGATAAAGTGATAGGACCCACACATATATACTGTAACCCTCACCGTGTACGCAATTTTTTCTCATTTAAGTCTCTTTTTCAAACATAAAGTAGCCCAATTCTGCGCAACTAGGCTTGTTAATTAAAACAGCAACTACCTATACCCACTATACCCTTTTAGGGAGTACATTTGTTGTCCTTTGCTTCAAAAAGCTATGCTCCTTAAATGTCGGTGACGTCGTATTTACGTGATTTATATCTAATAGAAGAATGGACGAAAGTGTTTACGAGGAACAACTGAACGCAGCAGGTGTACTTTTCCGGTTTTACGTCAATGGTCCCATGCAATGGTCATGTTAAAGGGAATTTACATTTTGATTTGCTATAATGATATAAAAAATGACTATTTTAAATGTTTAACAGAGACCTCCTATTCAATTATAATCATGCATTTGCATTGGTTGGTTTTATATTGATTTTTTTTAAAACTCCCTTATTGACAAAACAATGTTAGCAGTGTGTGAAGAATACAGAGATCTTGTCAGGAAATATTTTTAACAGGCTGTTATGTTAGAAAACAAAGTACTGTGCGATTTTCTGTGCTGATTTCACACTATGGAACAAAGTAAACAGTCTATCTCATAATTATACCTGTGTCACAAACAAAAAATTGAGAAAATCAACGTAAAACGTCCTGAAATATATATCGCCTAGGCCTATCTGATGTTTTTTTCTGTAACTGTCACTTCTAAGAGAATCGCTGCTGCAGACCCATATAGGTTTATTTTGAATATTTAATTTAATTGAATATTTCGATGCCAATTAGCTGTCACCGTATTAACAGCCTCTCGTCCTGGAGTACATGTGTTGAACAAATGACCATCCTGTCAGCTCACCTCTGTCCAGGAGAACAATGAAGTCAGTCATGCTGAACAATTGCTGACCCATGAGTTATGTTTCAGTGAACGAGATGAGCCAACAGGATAGCCCCGTGAATACTCACTCTTGACTGACTACAATCCCATATACAAGCTAAAGTACGAGCATGGCGAATAAATCAATCTATGATTTCTCTGCTGAGACCCTGGATGGACAGGTGGTTCCGCTCAGTAACTACAGGGGTAAGGTGCTTCTCATCATCAACGTTGCCACCTTCTGAGGGTCAACAATAGAGGAGGTAATAATTTGCAAGAGCACTGATTGATTACAGTCAGATCACATTATCTCACAGCACATCCACAATCAAATGTTTATTATAAGGCATTTGATTTTGTGACCTGTTTCCTTATAGTACCACCGCCTGAATGCACTGATGGAAATGTTTGGTGACCTCAACTTCACTGTCCTAGGATTCTCCTGCAACCAATTTGGTCTTCAGGCACCTGGTAGGTACACTGAAGCTCTTGAAATGTGATAATAAAAACAGACTATTAACCTGGTAGTATGCTGTACAAAGAGAAATACTGTGCTCTATATCAGTGGTGGATATCTGTTTACATTTACTAAAGTGCTGTACTAAAGTACAATGCTGAGGTAATTATTTGAGTATTTCTATTTTTATGCTATTTTATACTTCTACTCCATTTCAGAGGGAAATATTGTACTTTACAGCATATTTATAGCAGCATAGTTTCTTCTCAGATTAAGATTTTACATTTAAAAAGCCTATTATACTGTAAAATTAAATACATTGTTATAGAATAAATGGATGATTTCAAAATGTTTTGGCTGGTACCCCTTACATAAAAGCAAAGTCTGGTTGAGGGCCATTGTTGCATTTTAGATATATAATAAGAATAACTGTGTGGGGGTATTTCACAAAATAAGCAAAGATTATTTCCAGTCCGAAAAAAGAACTTTACTGATGACTCCTTCGATTTATCGATCACTCTTGGGAGGATTGCTCTTATTAGCAACCACTGAACTGAAAACGGTATATGAAATAGTTAACACTATAACTCCACCTTGACAACAACAAATAGTAATGTAATGTATAAAAATCAGTCACAGGGGCATGTATTTTTCAGCTGAATGAGTTATTTTAATTTTGATACATTAAGTACATTTTGCTACTAATACTTGATTTTGACATTTACTTGTAATGGAGTATTTGTACATTATTGTATTGGTATTTAATACTTGTTCCACCACAAACCACACTTTGTTGAATGTACATGATCATTCCTTTTTATTTTGAGGGCAAAGTTGTGAATACACACATTATGGTTTTCATGAGGAATATCTTTAAAATACATTATTAATAACTCTTTTTACTTTTATTTTTTCAGAGGTGAATCATGAAACACTTAATATTCTTAAGTATGTGAGACCTGGTGGGGGATTCGTGCCAAAGTTTCCTGTATTTGGGAAAGTTGAGGTGAATGGAAAAAATGAAGTACCACTTTTCGCCTATCTAAAGGTAGTGTGTTTCACATAGGATTTAAATATATAAGATTAATGAATGTCATTTACATTATTTCATTTTTGTGCTACAGCTTAAAAAAGCCTTTTTTTGTAATTTCACATTCACCACAGGAATCTTTGCCATTTGTGAACCCTGTAATTGGAGATATAAAGAAATTCTACTGGTCCCCAATCAAAGTCAATGACATCCGGTGGAATTTTGAGAAGTTCCTAATCACTGCAGATGGCATGCCCTTCAAAAGGTAAAGACCATAGACCTCAAGATAGAAACCCAGTCGGCCCTTAATTTGGTTAAGCACATGTGTAATTATCATAGTGGCTCTAATGTTTTCCCTTTACTGCAGGTATGAACTTCATTGCCCCATTGAGAAAGTGGAAAAGGACGTAGCAGAACTTCTCTGATTGATTTTCTTTCAATTTGTCACCGGTGGCAGAGTGACGATCCCCCAGTAAATGCACCCGTGCACCTGAGCTGGATCTGATCAGAAGAGGAACAGGCCTCAGGGCTTCAGTGCATTGACTCTGAGAACAAGTTCCCTTTCGCCACTGGAAGAGTTTTCATGTAAATGTCACACTTTTCTCAAAAGCGATTTTGTCTGCACCTCAAAAATAAAAATAAAATACTATAAAATAAATGTTCGAGTAGTTGTGGTTGCTTTTGTTGCCAATCCTAATATCATTATATAATTAATAGTTGGAGTGGGTCCCGCAGAAGTCTTTAACATGCTCTTTTGCTTAGATGTTTAGGATGAATTGGAATTGGTCCTTATGAGGACCCATACTTCCAACCTTGCGCATGCGTACTTGTTAGTCTGTCAGACAGCAGCAGCCAGTAAACATGGCTGGTGTTGGTTTCCGACGGTGGGCCCAAACCCTTTCTAAAGGAAAGGGTTCTGGCATTGCAGCCCTTTTGTCGGGGTGTAGAGCAGGTCAGCAGTGCCGTAGCTTTTGATGCCTTTTCATTTCTGTTAAGATACGTATCAGGGTTTAAAGTTAAAAGCCTCCGATGGACATAACCTTGACATGCTAACGTTAGCTTACGCTAGCTGAGCGGCTACCGCTAATCTGAATGAGGGTGAAGGCAAACAGAAAAGCATTGTTGTTTTTTCATTGTTGTTCGCTTGCAGTCTTTATAACTTCGCCTTTGTTTATTCACATATGCAATGTTTGGTGTTTCAGCCTCGGGCGTGTCAAAGGATACTGTTCTTGGTCCGTATCCGAAGACCCCCGAGGAGAGAGCTGCTGCTGCAAAGAAATATAACCTGAGGGTTGAGGACTATCAACCATATCCCGACAACGGCGAGGGGTAAGTTTATTTTGAAGAAGCCTGCTATTCATAGTAGTTTAAACTGTTCTCGTTTTCTCTGCAGTGTGAAAGCAGATGTTGAAAAGTCATAGTCAACTCAAATATTACGTTTACCACATACTTCACCACTGTGTGAACTACTAGTCAACACTGTCATTAACAGATCATTATCTATATGCCATCGTTTTGATTTTGTAGTTATGGAGATTATCCAAAGCTACCAGAAAGATCTCAGCATGAGAGAGACCCCTGGTACCAGTGGGACCACCCTGACCTGAGGAGGAACTGGGGAGAGCCAGTAAGATACTGATGACTTTATTTCTTGCTTTTGGAATTATTTAAAAATAATCATTTCAAAAATCCGATCCCTTTTAACTTTTAAAGATACTATGAGTATTTGTACCTGCCTGAATCAAAAATCTATTGATCGGTTACAGACTCGGCTGACAAACTTTTAATCAGAAACAATAAACGTGATCACATCAGTCTTGTTTTAGCCTCATTACACTGGCTCCCAGTATGTTTTAAGATTTTACATGGTCTTGCTACCTGCAATATCGCATACCTACTAGTATCCTACACAGCAGCTTGTACCTTTAGATCCTCGGGCAAAGAGCTTTTATTTGTTCAAGACACCTGGCTGAAATAGAGAAGTGACTGAGCGTTTGCAGCCAGGGCACTGAGGCTCTGGAACAATCTAAACGAGGAGATCAGGTCGACTGAATCAGTGAACTCTTTTAAATCCCTTATTAAAACCTACTTTTATCGAAGAGCCTTCCCTGATTTTATTTGATTTTATTTGAAGTATAATTTTTATAATTTTTTAAATTTTATTTCTCAAATGTGTTTTGTTTTACCTGCCTTTATGTTTGAACTATTTTATAACTTGGGTTTGATTCTTGTTAGTCACTTTGTAACATTGGTTTTAAAAGGGCTTTAAAAATAATGATTGTTATTGTTGTGATATCAGGAGCAACCCATGTATTGGCCAGGTGAATCTGTCGTTATGAACTTATCACAGATACATCAGTATTGGTGTATATGTCATGGGATAAGTAACAAGAAATTACAGTACAGGGACTGATTCCATCAAATTTGCAACATGCTTTTCAGCATGAAATCATTTTCTTACTGCTTATTTTCACTCATCAAGACAAACACCATACTTCCGACCCATGCATGAGTGTGTGCAAGAGCCCTGTAGGAATTGCAAATCTGCAATTTCTGAGCAACATTCATTAGTGAAGCGTGACACCGCCACCATTTGCGATGTAATTAGTGCCACAAATTGCTTTTGTTAAACGAGCCGCAGAAATGCCAGATATATATTTGCTGTAATAAGGACACAATGTCCCACTCCGTATATATCTTGGTACCAAACGGTTTTTTGGGGGTGGGTAATTGAATATATCCTTATCAATAATGTTTAAGGATATGTATACTCATAGTGTATTGCTAAACCATTAAAGAGACAGAACACCTATGTAATATGTATGTCTGAAGTGTATTATCAGGCCTCTGTATAGACACTGTTGCTTTTGGATACCAGTTCACACAGATGAAACATAAATGTATATTACAGTTAAAAAGTGATTGTTCTCTGTCTATTTTTAGATGCACTGGCATTTTGACATGTACATCAGGAACCGTGTGGATACATCTCCCAGCCCTGTATCCTGGTCCACAATGTGCAAACAACTGTTTGGTTTCATCGGTTTCATGCTGTTCATGTTCTATGTTGGGGAGAAATTCCCAGCATACCAACCTGTTGTAAGTACAGACCAATGCCTGGGGAGGGGGGGAGTACAGAAAAGACACTCTAAAGATTAATGAACTATAACAATAAATAAATATAAATAAAAAGAATAAATAGTAAACAGTTTTATCTACAGTATTGCATGGTCACATTTTTGCACGGTTTATCAATCCTGGTGTGTGTGTTTTGTAATGTAGTCTACTGGGAGTAGAGCTGCTGATACTGACCAGTTAATCAATAGAAGGGAGATCTTTTCCTATTCTTTTTTATATATATAAAACTGCACTCCCCCCTGGCTGACTGCCAGACCTTTTATCCAAAACATATTTGACTGTGAAAGAAAACGTAACTGTTTAATCAGCAAATTGGCTATATCATTGAAAAGGTCTGCTCAGACTTGAGAACTACAGAGTTAACCAGACATATCTCAGAACGTATTTCTATGCGACATTTAAAGTTATCTGGCTGACTTGTCAACTTACTTTGACACGCTGGACAAGTGTCCAAAATGGCTAGATAACAAATTGTCCACCTAACTAATAAATAGATGACTAGTTTTTTTGTTATTTTGTGTTTATTGCTCTAAATGTTGCTATAAAGTGTGTCCTCTGTTTTGCATCACTTATTTTACTCATGAATAGTTTTAATTGTTTAGCTACAATGTGAGCGAAATAGAAAAACATGTGCATTTCAGTATGTTTAGTAGTTTAGCTGTGTCACCAGTAAATGAAATGCTTTTGGCTGTTATTTAATAACATTCACATTTTCATTAAAGCATTTGTCTTTCTTCCAGGCACCAAAACAGTATCCCTATAACGACCTGTACCTGGAGAAAGGGGGAGATCCGGAAAAACAACCAGAGGAAGTCAAACATTACGAAATCTAATGACTTAAATCTGATTCTACTTCTGTATATATAGTTCTGTCAAGAATAAAGATGTTAAAAATTACATTGCTCACTGTGTTGGTCTAGTTTTGTGCATAGAAAGAATGCTGACCTGACAAATAGGTTTGTTTTTACACAAATTAAAAGATTGAATTTTGAGTGACAAGCAATATTTGAAGATTCCTGTATCCCTTTACCATGAAATGTTTCTGATATATAATCAAAAACATTTTTGTTGGGTTACTTCGGGGTTACCATAAGTCTCTACTGAATGAGAAATGTCCGTATCGGCTACCGTAGCGTAGTGACAACACGGCAAAGTACTTTGCTCGGAACCTGCCTGCGGCTTAGCTGCTAGCTTGACTGATAAGTAGCTACCCTGTTTGTTGTGGATGCCGACAGTCAGGCTGTGATATTGACAGTTGACGTGAGTCACTTTTAAAACCTTATTTGTCTTATGTATTTTTTTCTGCTGGACATAAACGCGTGTGATTTACAGAGCCTCTCGTTTCTGTTTAAATATGGTAACATGGGTGGTGGCTGTTCGCTTGGCTGCTAGAGGCTCCGGTTATACACTGGGACGGCCAGGTGCAACGGAAACCTACTAAGCTAGCTCATATGACCTGTGTAGTGGCATGTATGAGAAATTATCCGATCCCCTGAAACGATTCGAGTGTCCAGTGTTATTAATTATGCTATCGATGTGTGGGAAACATGTATGGAGCCGAGAATGCGAAATGCTAACGTTAACTTCGCCAGCTACATATGTGGTTAACGTACATTGAATTAATTCCTGTAACGTTAGTAATGTGGCTTTGCGACAGCTAAATGTAGATAATACCACTGTAAATTTATTACCACATAGTTAATCTAAGTTAAAATGTTTGTATAGCACATGGGTGGAAGCTGGCTCTAACGTTATGGGTGAACGGTTTGGTAAATTAACGTTAGCCCGCAATTTCAGGAAATAGTCGGCGGCAGTCTGTTAATAAGGGTGGATTATTTGAATTGTGAGTGCAAATTTGTACTCAACTATGTATTGTTAATCCACAACAAGTAGACATGTATTGTCTTTGACTTAGTGGAGTCGGATCGTCTGTCCAGGTCCTGAAACTTGTAGAGGAATATGAGGCTGAAGGAGATCCAGAGGACTGCCCACCAGGCGTGGAGTCCCGTAGGACACCATCCTATCCACCTGGCCTTAGGGACATCAGCACAACAGCTTGATGCCTCTTTCAACACCACAGCTGCCATAGAAGTATTTGAGGTGGATTTTTCTGACCCATCTCTGGACATGAAGCTCAAAGGGTCATTACCCATTGCAAACAGGTAATTTATAGAAGGGATACAAAAATAATGTGCATTTTGTTGGTAAGATTCTAAACCACAGTTCTACAACTGTCCACATAAGCCATTTTAGAGGAGTGGCTTAGTCCTTTTATATAATATCTTGTTTACTGCTTTTGTACAGCAACAATCTCACTTTTACCACTATCCACAGATATTTACTATCACAAGTAGGGTCTGTATATATTTGGAAGGCCTAGTAGTTTAGCTTAAATGGTAAAGCTCTGAACATATAGTTAATGCAGAGGACAGCTTACTGCTATAAATGATGGGACATGAGTATGCCATTTGCAGCGAATAACTCGCTTTCCTTTTCATATTCTATAGGTTGCACAGTATCGTATGGGTGAATTTTGGAATGGGAGCAGATGGTACTGGAGGGAGAGTGGTTGGTGGCAGTGAAAATGGCACAATTACTGTATATAACTCCGAGGCCATAATGAGCTCTGGAGCAGAGACTGTAGTGGGACAGTCTGACAAACACACGGGACCCATTCGAGCACTCGATTTCAACCCTTTTCAGGTACATGTCTTCAGTCTGCACACAGTCTGTCCTTAGAGGCACTTTACACAGAATCTTTCCTGGTACCATATTGCACATTAATCTTTTTAAAAAATTTCATTTATCAGAGTAATCTCCTCGCATCAGGAGCAAATGATGCCGAGATATATATCTGGGATCTGAACAACTTTAGCAGTCCAATGACACCCGGAACAAAGACACAGGTGGGTGCAGGATTGAGAGATCATAGGTTTAATGAACTACGTATTTCTGTTGTAATGGTTGATAGTTGACTTCTTATTTTGATCCTGTCCCATTTACTGTTTGAGTCAAAAGAAAACAGAAACCACAATCCCCAACAGGCAGCTTTCTCCTTGTTTCTTTACCTTTGTAGTTTCATGTCTGAGTTAAGAGTAAAAGCCACAAGTTTTCTTTCTAATAGGTTTCTATTTCATGTGTTGTGTATGAGTGTAACAGCCCATAGCAGGTTCCTTTATTAGCACCAGCCAAATGCTAGCAAAACATGCAAATGTCTGGTAGATTTACTTCACTCACCAGCCAAAAACAATGGTAATCTATTGAGTGGCTGGCACATTTTGTGCACTTTGTTCACTAGCCATTGGCTGGTGGACAAAAAAGTTAAGGTCTTTAGGTAATAGAGTTAATGATGCCTTGTCACATGGACATATTCTTTATACAGTTAGGTTCTAAGCAGGCCATTCATACATTTCATAAAATCAGTTTCACTTTTACTAAATATCTTGATCCTACATCACTATCAGCAGCATTCTCTGAAGGTCATTTAAATAGGTACTTACCTTTTTAGCATGGCACAGGCCTTGTAGTGTTATCATTTGAATATCAGGGATATCGGTCAGGTTTGTTTTTTTCAGTAACAGCTGTTGTCTCTTATTTCAGCCCACAGAAGACATCAGTGTTGTGTCCTGGAACAGACAGGTTCAGCACATACTGGCCTCTGCCACCCCCAGTGGGAAAGCAGTTGTGTGGGACCTGAGGAAGAACGAGCCCATCATCAAGATCAGTGACCACAGCAACCGGGTTGGTGGCTTTAATACAAAACACAGCAAGTCCAAGTCTAACGTTACCCTCTGTCAAATCACTGCAAGTCTGTGTTTCATTAATCAATCAGTAAGTTCCATTGCAACATTTTCAGATGATTGAACAATGGTCTCTGTATCAGACAAACTGATCTGCTTTTTATGGTTGTCTTCAGTGAACCATATCCTCTAACTTCTGTTTCTTCACTTGAAATTATTAAAACAAACACATACAAATGAATCATTAGTATATACAGTATCGTAGGGACTCATACCACTGCAAATCATTTGTGGTGTTCTATCAAAAAGTCCCAATAATTGTGAATCTTGCTTAAAGAAATTTTGAGTAGAGCTGCACCATATTTATACTTTTTATTTGCTTTGATGAATACTCAACATTAATACTGATGTAGGCTGGGTGATATGGCCAAAAATGTTATCATGATAAAAACATTTCATATAATTTTATATCAATAAATGTCAAATCATTGTTTTTTCAAGATTAAAGTCTAATTTCTGCCCCTGAATGAAAATTGAAAGGCCAGATGGTTAATTGTATGGTTAAACTATACTTTATTGTCGGTGATGTGAACACTTGATGAAAAAATATGATTAGTAACCTTTTTTCAGTCCCTTTTCCTCAACAAAATAAACATCTTAATAGAAAAATTAAGTGCTAATTCATTTGATTCTAATGAATTAAATCAAATATTTGATGATATATTGAACATTTGTTATATTGTTTTTGAGGAAAATTAGATTGCGATAATTATCATTATTGTTTTATTGCCCAGCCCTATGCTGATGATGTTAAATTCATGCATGCTGTTTCAGTACAGTTGTGCAGAGCGGCCGACCCACACTAAACTGTAACAGCTTTCATTTTAAATCTTAGATTTCTAGCTGTATGGCTCAGATTTTAGTGTCTTTACTAAACTATTTTGTGAAAACATCAGATTTCTACACATTAAGTGAAATGAAGAGTGTGCATCTATGTCATAGTTTAGATATAAAGCCTTAACACAACAGAGAGCATCTCTCCTGTGTGGCACCTGACATCCCTGTTGGACAAATTGCAGATCACACTGGATGGTTGTAGCTAGTAGATTAGCCAACATAACTAGCATTCAGCATCAGAGTTGAGGGCGTCGAAACAGAACAGGTCACTCTGCCCTCAGTTTACCTCACCGGCCTCAGTTTTTGTTATTTTACATTTTGTAATTAGAATTGGGTTAGATTTAAGAATAAGACATGAAAATTTATTGAGCAGCATTCATTTTGAGAATATTTCAAAGCCACCTAGCCCCCTGTCAGGTTAGACAAAAAGTTAAAATGATTATGTTACACCCTGTAGAAAATCCCTGCAAGTCTCACTTGTTATGTGATTTCAGATGCACTGTTCAGGAATGCTCTGGCACCCTGACGTGGCCACTCAGTTGGTGTTGGCCTCTGAAGATGACCGACTGCCAGTCATCCAGATGTGGGACCTCCGTTTTGCCACATCACCCCTTAAAGTCCTTGAGAACCACACAAGGTGAGTCTTTAACAGTTTGCACATCATTTTCATTTAATTTTTTTAGTCATCTTGTAGAATTTACTGTATGTTCCCTATGTATGGTATTTTCTTATAGGGGAATTCTGTCCATATCCTGGAGCCAGGCTGACTCTGAGCTCCTACTGAGTAGCGCTAAAGACAACAGGATCCTCTGCTGGAACCCAAACACTGGAGAGGTATATCACATTAATTGCTGCTTCTTTGTTATACCTGAATTTTACCTTGCCTCATTTTTGTTACTTGATTTCAATACCATGGGTTCACACTCACGTGTCATTTCTTTGATTTTAGGTCATTTACGAGCTTCCAACAACAAACCAGTGGTGTTTCGATGTCCAGTGGTGCCCCAGGAATCCAGCCCTGCTTTCAGCTGCCTCATTTGATGGGAGAATCACTGTCTACTCTGTGATGGGAGGGAGCTTGAAGGCTCAGCAGCAAAGCACTGCTGATAAGGTAACGTTTGTTCTTATGTGATGTATGTATATGAACCCAAAGGCTGTGTGCAGGGCTTGCATTGTTTGGCCACAAGATGGTGCTGGTGTGAAGTGATTGCATAGACTAATTGATGAACTGTTTGGCATCGACACATGCTGAATTTGAATTTTTAAATGACCTCTGACATTTCAGAGGTTGTTGCATGAAGTAGGGCTGCAATTAACAATTGTTTTAATCATTTATTAAACTGCTGATTATTTGCTCAAAGTAACAATTCATTCTTTGTTCTATAAAATGTCAGAAAAATAGCAGTATTGTAAAATTATCTGTCACAGTGTCACAAAGCACAAGTCGACATGTTTAAATGTCTTGTTTTGTCCGACCAACAAAACCCAAATATACTCAATTTAATATCAGAGAAGGATAAGATATTAACATTTGAGGAGCTGGAACCAGTGTAATCTTGAAATGTTTGCTTAATCAATCAACTATTTGATTAAATCTTTCAGCTTTACCTCAGAGTTGTGCTTGTTTTAACATTTTGCATTTTATTTAACAGATATCCTCCTCATTTGATACAATGGATCCCTTTGGTACAGGGCAGGTGCTGCCTCCCCTGCAAGTTCCTCAGCCTACAGTGCAGGACACCATAGTTCCCCCTTTGAAGAAACCACCTAAGTGGGTGCGCAGGCCAGTGGGAGCTTCCTTTGCTGTAAGTGTAAATTAAAAATATTTTATAAGCACAGTAATGGAGAAGGCATTGTAAAAAAAATGACCAAATCTTTTTCTTTTATGTCTGATCTGTTGTTTTTTTTATTTCTCAGTTTGGTGGAAAGCTAATAACCTTTGAGAATCCAAAGCTGCCTCCAGTACAGAGCCCCCAGCCCGTCCCAAGGCAAGTGTTTGTGAGCCAGGTTACAACGGAGACAGAATTCCTCCAGCGCTCCAGGGAGCTGCAGGCGGCGCTGCAATCGGGCTCCTTCAACAACTACTGCCAGGCTAAGATTCAGAACGCCAAGTCAGATGCTGAGCAGGACATATGGAAGTTCCTTCTGGTGGGCCTCTTCATTTTATTGCAAGACATACATTTAAGTCTGTAAGTCAGTGTGGTGCTAATTGACTTTCTCTGTTTAAAGGTAAACTTTGAGGATGAAGCCCGCGTTAAATTCCTTAAACTTTTGGGTTTCAGCAAAGATGAACTGGAGAAAAAGGTATTCTGCCTCTGATTTATAACTGTGGTTATTAGCTAATATTTATCATTCATAAGATGTGACCTTTGAATCATATCCTTTGTCTTAGCTGTGAAAAATGTTGCGTTTATTCAGATTTCAAAATGTCTGGGGAAGAGTTTTCAGCACAATGGACATGGAGTAGATGCCAAAGATCTGGCCGAAAAGATGCAGCGGCTCTCCACTGAGGTCAGCAAGTCTGCACACAAAATTTTTATTTTCAAATCTGTTTGCTCATTGTTATTTGCATACAAAGTTTTGCAGCCCTTGTTTAGGGTAAAATATTCTTTGTTGTGTTTTCAGAGGTCTGATGAGTCTGTTGATGCGAGAACCTCGGGATCTGGTTCACCAGCGGACTTCTTTAGTCAGACCCCAAAGGAGAACTCCAATTTCCAGATACCTGTGTCATGTGGTAAAATGTTTCTGTGTCATGATAGGAAATCTAACTAGAGTTTGTGTGGCTGGGATGATGGCTAATGACCTTGTCATTCTTTTGAAGATACCGATGGTTTGATAAGCCAAGCGCTGCTGGTTGGTAACTTTGAGGGAGCCGTGGATCTGTGTCTGAATGATGGTCGCTATGCTGAAGCCATCCTGTTGTCAATCAGTGGAGGGGAGGAGCTGCTCAAGAAAACTCAGCAAAAATACCTAAGCAAGCAAAAGAACAGTATTTCAATGGTAAGAGTACGTTTGATTCATCGTAGTGCAGTTTGTAAAATCACAGAGGAAGATGTATAAGCTGTATGTTAACATAATTTGTTCTGTTCTGCAGCTTATATCATCAGTGGTGACCCAGAATTGGAGAGACATAGTGCAAAGCTGCGAGTTGGACAATTGGAAGGAGGCGCTCGCTGCTCTGCTGACCTACGCTCACCCTGAAGATTTTGCGCGTCTGTGCGGTAAGTCGCTCACAAATGTAGCAGCACATTGATCATGCTGCGACTTGCCTCGCTTGCATGAGAATTACTTGTTTTACTTGCTGAATAACTTTTCCGTCTGTACTTATCAACCCCTACTCTAATTTCAGTCTTTCCCCCCTGTTTTTAACTGTTGTTTTGTTCTGTTATTCTTCTTGGTAGATACCCTGGGAGGCCGGTTGGAGCATGAGGGAACAGAGAAGCGCTGCCTGCAGGCCTGTCTGTGTTATATCTGCTCTGGGAACATTGAGAAGCTAGTGGAGTGCTGGGCGGTGCATAGAGACAGCTCCACCCCTCTTGGTCTGGAGGTATGATCTTTGTCAGGTTTGGTCTTGGCTTTGCATGAACAAAATACTGGTTTAACTACACTGTTGCACCAAGCACAAGAGTGTGAGCACAAAAACAATGTTACCACATCTGAAAATGATCAATTAGAGTAGAGTAACCTCTGAGAAACAGATTTGTTTTTCATGGTAATTATTCCCACTCTTATGGGATGAATTGAAATGGTTGCATGTACAGACTGGTATAGCAGTTAGAGAAGAACTTTTAAGAAAATGTTTATGGGCTGCGCATGCAACGTGCTGTTGTAGGCCAAAGGTAAGAGCGTTGAGAAATGTAGGTCACATTTCTCTTTCTTTGTATTTTTTTTCAGGATCTGATTGAAAAAGTAATGATGTTGCGTAAGTCAATTGAACGCCTCCGCAACAGTGAAGTGGCAGTCCAGAGCCCCATCCTGGCTGAGAAGCTGACCTCTTATGCTGGCATTCTGGCTGCAGAGGGCAGCCTGGCCACTGCCATGACCTATCTGCCTGAGAACTCAGACCAAGTAAGATGCAAAGCAGTAACATTTTCAAACCTAAATCAATAGTTATGCTCCATTTGGATTGTAATAAATACATTTTGTCTCCCCAGCCCGGGATCACGATGCTGAGAGACAGGCTGTTCCGCGCTCAGGGAGAGGCTGCCGTTGGACAGCAGCCTTCAAACTCCTTCAACAGAGTCAATGTGTCCACAGCCAAGACTCCTGCACCAAAAGCACAAGTAATGGTATAAATCTATTAGCAATCGAAAGTATTAAATCATTAATGTATTTTGAAAGATGATCTGTCTTTATGTTATTTTTATGTGTTATTTTTCTCCCAACCTTAGAATCAGTACCAGCCTTCCGCTCCTTCCCAGATGGCCCAACAGCAGCCTCCTGTGCCGTCAGTTTTTACACCACAAGGTGCTCCGACCTGTACCGGTCCTGGTCTGCCACCTTCTTCTCATGTACTGCCGCCCAGTGCGACCCGCCCTGCCATGAGGCCTTCCTACCCCCAACATCCTGCTCCGGCTCCAGGTTTGACACTGACTTTTTACTTTCTACTTTCAGGGTGTTTCAGGCTGGTTTCATTTGATGTAATAGTCCTCGTCCTTTCCCAGGTTTCCTTCCTCATCAGCAATTCCAGCCTCAGTCTATGCCCACTGGCGTGCCCTCTGCCTTCCCTCCTCCAGGTCCTTCTATGCCAGCTGCCAACCTATCAGGACCTCCACTACAGCCTTCATCATCCACCCCCAGAGGCATGCCCCCCATGCCTAGCCCCGGGGTGCCGCCGTCAAGCTTCATGACACCTACCTCTTTATCCTCACCCTCCATGCCACCCAACTCCCAACATGGAGGCTCAGTTCCCATGTACCCAGGGGGCCTCCACAACCAGGGGCCTGCTTCCCACATGGCATCTGGTCCATATTCCCCTCTTGGATCAGGGTATCCACAGGGAGGACCTGGTGCCCCCGCTGTAAAACCGTTTTCAGCCCCTGCTGTTGCCCCTCCTCCTACAGGTAAGTTTCATGTTGGTCACTTTGTAGTCAAAAGATCACAATTACATTCATGTAATTTCAAGTATTTCTAGAAAGAGGCAGATCTACATGTAACAGATGTTCGCAGGTTGCTAATGGTTATTGAATCATGTTCAGCTGTCCACCTCATCTGACTTGCAGGATACTTTCCTTGGCTGAATACCCCGTGTGACCATCAAGGTGACAGGGTTAGGGTTGGATATAGAAAAAGAGTGCATTGAAATAAACACTTGAGTGACCAAACAAACACCTGTACAATGTAATACAATGCAAAACAATATTCCTGCATTTAGTTCCATGGTTGTATTGGATTGCATTACATTGCATAGGGTTTTAATATTTTTTGGTCACTCTGCGTTTTTGGTGGTGTTTGCTTTGTGCTGCTGTATGCTTGAGGGAAATGTAGTGACCTTTCTGATTTACTTCTATGTACGTTAGCTTAAAACACAGTAAACAAAACCGCAGTTTCCAGGCTTGAATCAAGTTGCTGTAAGTTTTATTTTGGATCATACAGTGTCAGCCCTTTAAAGAGAACATACTCTTCATATATTTATAGTGCAAATTCAGACTTAAGTAACACATTTTACAACATGTTTCATTGATACGTACATGTTTGAGCTCAAAAAGGTATTTATGAGATGCTTATATTATTCAGCATTGGGATATTGTTACTGTTGAGTGATTTATAAGGCTGCTGCCTGAACATTTGGCCATATTTGCTGTTTTGTTTCTGCAAAAACTAGCTAGAATCTATGGCTTAATGACTAACATTGGCTCATAGAGATTGTCTTGTGTAGACAATCTTTGACTGCTTTGAGCGTGACTACAGGACAAAATGCTGCTATTTTCTTTCTAATTCCCTCTTCCACTTCTGAATTTAGGACATCAAGAAGGCTGGAATGACCCACCAGCAGTACGAGGTGGACCCAGGAAGAAGAAGGTACTCCCACGTTTATCACTATCAAAATCTTTTAGATATTTTATCAAGCCCATGGAATATATTCTTTCAAATATGATACAATAGAATAATATGCTTGTAAATTTGTGAGCAAAGTTCATTTAGTGTTCTAGTATTCAGCTATTGCTGTGAGCACAGGTCAAAGCAAACGTCTTTTCTCCGACATACCTAGTGCGGCTCAGCTCATAGATGGGATAGCTTCATGTATTGTTTAACAGTAACCCTGCAACTGGAGCTGTTTCACCTTGGTCTCTTCTTTTCAGTCGATTTGGTTACTGTACATACAACCTTTCTGAATACAAAAGCTGTTACTTTTAACTAACTGTTGATTTCTCTGCTCGTTTGCTCACTAGTTTTCATGACCATAAATATTCAAAAGACCATGACCAATTTGTATTTCTCTTTGTTCCACTTGCCCCTGTCAACTGCACTAGTACCCCTTAAGGTACAAGTACAAATAGCTGGGAATCGCTGCTCTAAGATATGTGGTACACATAATAAAAGCCTGCTGTGTAGTAGAACTGGGCAAATAATACAACCTAGCCTAACAAGAGCTCAGTTCAATAATTTAATATATGATTCATTTTTAAAGCTCCAGTAATAAATATTTTATTAATAACAATGAACTAAATGACTACATGTCATTTGAAAGGGGTTGTGGGTAAACCCACAGAGATTTATGCTTCTGCTCTCATTAAACTAATTTCTTGCAACAGAGGGCTGATGTTTTCAGCTAACAAAACAAGACAAAGTTAGTAACCAGCTAACTAAGAGCTAAATAAAGTTGAACATCCAGTCAGTCCTGTCGTGGTGGTCCTCTGTCCCCAAGTGGCCAAAAGAATCAGTAAATGTAGCTTTAATATGTCAAATCTAAATTTCTGAACACAGCTCAGCGTCAAGGTTTTAAAACCTTCCCCTCACTGACTGGATGTGTATTTCCTATTGTGTGTACGCAGGTCCCTGATAACTATACTCCACCAGCCCCCATCACTGCGCCTGTGATGGGATTCCCTGTGGAGGCCCCTCAGCCCCAAGACCATGCCCAAGTCCCCCCTGGAGCCCCCCAAGAGCCCAGCGTGCAGGTTGGTGTGAGACATGGGGCTGCTGTCTGAATTCTCCACAGCGGCAAACATATCAATACCTTGTGTTTGTCTTCTTGTTTTTCTCAGCTCCTCCAGCAGCTGCCAGCAGAGAGGGTGGAGCAGAAAGAAATCCCTGCTGAACACATGGTCCTCAAATCCACCTTTGACAGCCTGGTGCAGCGCTGCCAGCTAGCAGCAAGAGACCCAGTAAGTCTCACTGTGTGTGTGTGGCTGCATCAAAATTTTGCTGTTTATAATAAAGCTTGTATTGAGTGTAGGGAAATGTTGGGATTTTATTGGCTAGAAACTGACCACAAATGTTTCATTTTCAGCAAACAAAAAGGAAACTTGATGATGCAGCCAAACGTTTGGGATATCTTTATGACAAGCTGAGGGAGCAGTCGGTAAGAAATTATTAAATGCACATGCTTCAATACAGTTACAATGAATCACATGTTTCAGGGTTACAGCAGCATTTTTTAGTGGAGGTGACATAGAGAACGTCTCTGCTAATGTCCGAAGAAATCTGAAATTAAATATTAGGCTTGTTAAGTAAGCTTCAGAATACAAGCTATGAAGATGTGTTTTTGGGCCCTGGATCAGGCGCCACATAGTAACATGTGTTATTGTTTCCCTGCCGATCTCTTAGCTCTCTCACAACATCCTGAACGGGCTCCACGAGATCAGCCGCTGTGTGGCAAGCCAGAACTACCAACGGGGTCTGGAGGTCCACACCCAGGTGGTCAGCAGCAGCAACTTCAGCGAGATCTCCGCCTTCATGCCCATCCTCAAAGTGGTCATGACCATCGCCAACAAGCTTGCCGTCTAACCTCTGGGGACACCACCAGGCAGACTTCAGTGTTATCATAATGTTATATATGTATTTATTTCTTATCGACCAGATGACGTGCTTTGATAATGACAATAATTACTGATGATAGTGCTGATTGTGGTCTTCATCACTCCATACATATTCCTTCCTGGAGGGACTTGGCTGATTTGGGCAGTGAGGTGGATTTTTTTGTAGAGATTTGTTAATGTTGCCGTGGTAATTTTACGATAAGGTGAATGTATTCTGAAAGTTGTGATTCTGTGTAAATTCAACAGTTGATGTAATGTACAAAGCAAGTGGTGCAAAGTTTGAATCAAGGCGGTGTTTGTACAAGTAGATGCATTTTCATACTCCATATTTCACTCAACATGTGCATATTTTTGACTGTTGTCAAAGTTTTGATTGAATGCACATGCAGTGCTCCAACTGCAAAAACAAAACATCTGGCAACTCCTACATCTAGGATAGGGGTAAAATCATGAGTATAAAATTTGGGTCGCACTTAACTCTATACTGTCTGTGTAGTTTGTATGAGGGAGAAACATACTGAGACACCTGTTCTTTCTTTTAAGTGTCTTTCATTTTACATGCATCAAGAGCATTCGAAAATACTGTAACATAAATACTGATTGTTCTCTCCTGCTGAAACAGATTGTGTCCAGTTGATTGTGCCATGGGGCTTTTTGGGGGGCCAAAGCGCTGCAGAAGAATAATTTACTGGTTGTTCTTCCCCCCCCCCACTCCATTTTGTGTTAACTTGGCCCCATTAGCCTAATTCCCTGTTAGCTTATGTGAACAGCTGAATCTTTTTTCTTTTCACCCTCAGACTTGTATCAGTGTGCATGTTTCCCATGTTAACTCCTTCACTCACTGCTGAGTTCACATGGCAGCTCATACGCAAAAATTGCATTAATTTATGTTAAATTTGCAAATGAATCCCTCCATGTTAGTCACTCCCTCTGTTACCCAGGCTGCACCTAATCCTTTTGTAACTCTGAATTATTATTTTTTAAACATACTTGTTTTAGAATAGATCATTCAGTGATAACAAACTAAAATGAACTGAAAACATAGGTACAAGGTTTGTAGATGGACATAAAACTGGGTAGTTTGGTGCATCATGGCAGCAGAAGGCAGTCAAGTGCCTCTGTGCTCATTTTGGTTGCACAGATATTTATACAATCCATGTTGCATTACTTTACTCATTGCTGTATCTTTTTTTCAAATAAAATTTCACTTCAATGGTTTTGAGACTTGATTAAATGCTCATGATTTTTTTTACGCAAAGATGCCATTTTGTTACTACCTTGTGATAGGACACTATTTTGTAACTAATGGGTAACAAAATCATTTATTAATGTGTTATAGATGAGTTATTAGTCATGAATAAGAACTTTAGGGCTGCCAGGTTTTATGGAAAGATGATGTGACATTTGTTCTGTCTTGAGTTCATCATTGCTAACTTTTATTATTAATTTAAAATAGATGGTCAGTTATTGGCCATTATCTTCATATAATAGGGTCCTGCCTATGGAGTATAAAGCGTGTATCGCATACATTAATTGACAACTAGAGTAACTATAGACAGATTTTATATAGACAAAATATGATGAACAAATATAATATGAAGCATTGTTATGGATATACAACAGTATATAAAGTAGTTAAGTTACATAAAAAAATGTACATTTTGTATGTACAACACTAGTACATTTATTATAAAACTAAGAGGACAGAGAGTACTTTGCTGTTGATGCTTTATTTTGCTTCTTTACATCAGTGACATTTTGACTGCAGGACATCTTCACGTTGTGGTATTGCTGGTTTTGTATCCTATTCTAGGCGATTTCCATTTTGAACAGTAGATGGCTCTGTGTTTAACATCATGCATTTGCAAAACTATCGACAGCTACCTGCACTTATCATGGAGTTTTCCACATCTACACTTTTCTTTATTGAGTCCGTGATCTTACCCACAGGTAGCCAAAGTTTTACTTTAGCTGCTATTTTCCTACTGCCATCAAAAGCACTTGAATGCACCACATGTCTGCATTTACGACTTTCCCCCCCGCAGACATTGTAGGCCTACGCTTCGAGGGGCATTTCATAACTCATTCATGATTTCATTCACTGCCAAATCCTGAGGCTGTGAAACGGCAGTTTGCAAGCTGGCACCACTGATGCAAAAAAAAACAAAAAAAACAGGCTGGCACAGGTGGTTCACCCGCCCTCACTCCATTGGTTCAGTAGGATCATAAGTCAGGACCTCGCTACTGATTGGCCGGCTTGAGTCAGACGCTGTGGTCTGCGTGGCGTGAATGTTTTTGGTGGGTTTTGAACTGCAGTAACCTCGGCCATGACAGTGTGGAGTGATGTTAATGTAATGCAACTTCAGCGCACATCACACCACGCCAGCGTCCTGAGTCATGCGGTAATTTCCCTTCATGTGACACCATGCCTTCAGGAGTCCATGTGCAGTAGTTTATAGGGCAGCCAAAAAAACATCTAATGTGATCAGTGGAATACATAGGTAGCCCTTCTTGTACTTTACCAAAGTTTTCTACTCAATACTTCTACTCCACTAGGCCTAAAGTAAAGTAGGAAAATATTTATTTATCCATCACTACATTTAGACTGACAGCTGTAGTTACTTCTTATATTCTAATATAAAACATAATCAACAAATATATTCTGAAATTTTATTATACAAAGCTACCCAGCAGTTTATAAAAATACTTAGTACCACTGTTGCCAGCTGAAACATTAAAGTGAGAAATATAAGTGCATCAGTACTTATCCAATAATATGAAATTCTGCAGAATGAATACTTCACTTTCGGTACTTACTCCTATTTAAGAGGGATTATGTGACAGCTATGTATACTTTGCATTAAAATTCTATATATAAAAAACTACTTAGAAAATAGGATGCATTGCCACAGATGAGATAAAGTAGTTAAACCCACTTCAACCAGATACATCCATAAATGCTGCTAACTGCGGTAATAATAATCAACAGTAGAGTATAGAATACTCTGAAAGGGGCCGTTATGCACAACCTTTACTTTTGTATCATTACATTGTGGTATTACTACTTTTACTTAAGGTGAGGATCTGAGTACTTCTTCCACCACTGGATGTGAGGTGAGGATTGCAACTAACAATTATTTTCATTATGGATTAAGATGTTACAATGAACTGATCGACTCTTTAGTCTACAAAATGTCAGAAACAGGTTTTAAAATGCACATCATATATTCCCAGAGCCAAAAGTGAGGCCTTCAAAATATGTCTTTTTGTCTGCCCAAAATAATTACAATAATATATGAGAGAAATCCTCACTTTTCAGAAGGGTTTTTTTTCTATATAAGTGACTTAACCTATCAACTAATTCATTAATTGACTAGCATTGGGGATCTTTGCTTTTGGAAGCAATTGTAACATCCACAAACCATGTACTCCTCACCCTCACACAGTCTGATGTAATAAATAAACTCTCTCTGGTCAGCACGCTGCTCCTACATTCCTCTCTGCCGTGTGTAAACCATTAGGCACATTTTGAGAGATCGTTCTGTATCTGCAGGCATGAGCAAATAGCACAGGCTTGAATATCTGAGATATATTTGACCTGCAGACTGAATGTGTCTGAGTTCTTTCCCACAGAACGGAAAACCAATCCAAGGAACAGAAAATCACCAGACGAGTCCCAGTTGGATTACTACAAGAAAACTGCAGACTGCGATGGAAGGGAGTTTTCACCCACCATCACAACAAATGCAGAATGTCCTCCTGTTTCTAATGTACATTTACTCAACTACCGTACTTAAGTAAAATTTTGAGGTACATCTACTTTATACTTTTACCCCACTACACTGAAGAAAAAATATTATACTTGTTATTCCACTATATTTATTTGCAATCTATGGTTACTAGATACCTAACAGATCAAAAGACAAATGTATTATTAATTAATCCTGAATAATCAATGAATCATTTGTGGTCTTTGGTCTAAACTGTCCATCACAGTTTCCCAGATCCCAAGGTGATGTGTTCAAATGTCTCATTTTTCTAACAATCCACACTCCAAAACCCCGGAGAAATGCAGCAAATATTTTTCTTTCTGCCTGAATCTTGACAAACTACATTAAAAACCTGATGAGTACTTTACTTTTGATAACAAGTACATTTACCTGTTAATACTATACATTTATTTAAGTAACACTAAATGCAGGAATTGTACTTTTGATTATTAGTTACACTGTTTATTGCTACTTTTCCTTCAGTAAAGGACCTGAGTAATTCCTGCCAATAGCAACATGTAGCTGGAGTCAAATTCAGCCAGAAAAGAGCAGGCTGCGTAATGGTGAACACTAGATGACAGCCTGACAACCTCTGGCCCCATTCTTGAAATAATCAAGACGAAATGCTTCCTGTTCACAGGTGGTTTGCTGCCCTTAGACTGCATTGTATATCTGTTTCACTTCTGACAGACCTGCCATTACAGCTCACATAAAAAGACACAAGCTAAGAAATCCACAATTGCAAGCAAAGTCCAGATGGCATAAATGTGTTTAAATTAAAACCAAGTGTCCTTGTGGAATTACTAAATATTTAACATAACAGTCTGGAAGTGTTTAGCTGTTTAGCCGGAGAAAATATAGACACAATGAATAAAAAAAGAAAATAACAACTGTTTTCAATTATGAGTGTATTGAAAATATTGTGAACTTTATTTCAGAATAGAATACAGTTGAGTTTTGACATAATCATTCAGGGAGACAACCTTTTGAAGCTCCTCGTCATTAGGAAAATTAGGAAGATTTTGGCGCTCCGGGCAGCAGGAGTTGTTTGCATGGCTTGTGATATATTGTCGCGTTTGGAAAGTGCATTAAGTCTCCTCATGACAGCACCTTCGATTGGGGGATTTCATACTGAGATGCCGTGAAGGGTTCCAACTAGTTGGCACATCCATCACGGCCTATATTTCATTTAAGTTAAATCTCAAGACTGATAGTTTGCTTTAATTTTGCATTTTTTGAAAATCAACCTTGATCATATTTGTTTTGTGATACTTAAAACCTTTTTTTGTCTTAACTGACAGCCAGGACCTGAAGATCAGGAATGGGCCCAAGTTATAAGGCATTTGGTTGTGTCCTGACTGTTGAGAAAAAAAATAAACAGATGCTCCAATTTGATATATGTATATATATATATATATATATAGTTATCTGTCAAATCTTGGAATGCAAAAACTGGTTCAGGTTAGAGCAATCCTTTTTGGTCAAGAATGGGAAAAAAATAAATAAATACATAAATAAGCATTCCACACACCAGAACTGAAGATGAACATAAACATAAACATTGATGCGCCTCAAAATTTCGCAAAGACAATCATCTTAGTAGGACATCTAAGGGAAACCAGACCCTGTCTCAGAAATCACCATGGCAACAGTTCTGATGATCCAAAAGCCATGCGGCTCCACAGTAACGCTACAAAAATAGACACGGTTCTGCCATTAGAGTCACCAACAAAACACCTCACTATAACACCAACTACAGTATATCATCATGCATGGGTGGCATGTTGTTTTGTAACACCAGAACTGTCACCTGACTGGCTGCTACATCGACCAATAAGATCTCTGCTGCAGATGCTTCAGGACAAAAAAAGGCTGGATGAAATGCTGGATAAAATCTCAAGCGGAGGCGAAGCCACTGATGCCACGATGTTAAAAAACTTCCACGATGATGTCGAGTGAAGAAGCAGCATCGACCGTGTGTGCTCTAGTGGACCATTGAGATGGTTCTAAATATGTCGACAGTTGGCACACTCTTGGCACAAAGATATAAAAAATTGCATGGCAAGTTAAAATTACATTTATCATTTACTGTTAATATTAATTGGCAGTTTTATAGACTTGAAATATCTTGATCCAATTCTTACACAGACTAAATACTGTGTGTGTTCATCTTTTTCTAATGCCTTTGACTTTTCTACATATTTGGTTTGGTTTTCTGTAGGAGAAAACCAAGTTACAACACTGAATGACTTGGCTTTCATGTAGTTTTGGAATATAGTCAAGTTATAAGATGGTCTGGGTTCCCTCACTCTTCCATCATGTGCCATATTTCATTAAAGCCAGCAACTTTTTTTTTTTTTTTTTTTTTTACAAAACAAGATTCAGACTCTCATCCCTTTTTCTTCAGATGTTAGAGCTCTCAAAAAGTGAATTTATATCACAACTGTAAAATCTAGCTGTAAACTCCAATAAAGGCATCCGTCTCCAACTGCTATTGAACTGCATCAGTTGAAATGTTACTCCATATGTAAGTGCTCCACTTCTCGTCTATTTTGATTAATAATTGAGTATACTTAGATAAAAATGATCGGCTACATGACTTTGCATGAAGAATGCACACCAAAGTGGCAAAACAGCAGAAAATGGAGTTGACTTAAAATGCATCTACTTCAAATCTAAAACATCTTTGCAAGCCCTTGGCCTGACTGAACAAGAGAAACCAATGCCAACGGCTTAGCAAAAAGTGTTTGATTGTTAACCACCTTGAACAATTTGTTAACTTACAGCTACAAAAACCACAAAAACAAGCAAAATGTGGTCAAGGCCCTCATGAAGCTGACTTATCCTCAGAGGATGAGAAATGTATAGCTGTCAAAGGACTGTGAAGCTTCTTCTTTTCGGTCGTTTTGTCTTGAAGCCGACCACAATTCAATAATCTTAGCCACTCCGATGGCTTCCGTCTCCTGTGCGCTGTATTCGGGCCTGGACCGTCTCGCGGGGCACTCTCTTGCGATCCTTGGCCAGGCCCAAGAAGCACATGAAGTCGATGAAACAAGTGGTAAGGTTCAACTTGCAGCCAAACTCGCTGGTTGCATAGTCATATGGGAACGAGTGGTGATAGTTGTGAAATCCTTCACCTGTAAGGTACAAGAAACAAGGGTTGTATTATACTAAAGAAACAGGAAACAATTAATGACTAGGGTTGGGCCGATGAGACGATGCCATCACAACGTTGAGCCGGTATTGTGATTGTAAACATCCCCCAACCCCAGCAAAAAAACTCTCTAATTTTCACATTATTCTGCCCTGTGGAAGCAGGTTTTAATCACCTCGGACATTCCTATTATTGATTTTAAATATGCTTTGCACCTGCCTCAGAATTCTCCTCTCCCCCTACTCAGACACACTCACACCTACACCTCAGCTAAACACACCGGCTTACCCCGCCACTCTCCCCCCGTCTGCTCCACTTTCTCCATCAGCAATGTGTCTTCTACAGTCGTCTAAAAGACACAGTACTCTTCTTTTGTCCGTATTTTTTCACCAGCGATACGGCAGCAGGCGCGCCACACGTCAGCTTGTTAATGACGTAGCCTTTCAAACTGAAACAAACATCTGCACCCTGTGTGTTCAATGCTGCTTTACCTGGTCCGTGCGTAAAATATCCACCGCGACTTGTAACGTAAGTTAATAGGCTACCAAGTTTTTTACCGAGTGTAGTATGCACATAAGACGACCGCTACCGATGTCGTCGTCTATACTGATGTTTCATTGTAGACATCGTCTGATGGAAATATGGTAGACATTGCCCAACCCTATTAATGACATGATATGTATCAGACTCTGCAAAGTTGGCTGATGTTTACTAGACATTTATATAGACTAAGGGCTGGTTTAGAGTGACTAATTAGTGACATGTCCCATCAACAACAGTAATCACTTCTGTGGTTGAAAGCACTGATAGCTCATGCTGATCAAATTCACAAAAGGGGTTGTGTTGTTTTGTTACTCAGCGGGATATCATGCAAACTACCTAAGAAATGACATCTGATGTAAAGTTAAGCAAGTGGCCAAGAAAGATCTGTTTTGATATGTAAAGGTCACCATTTAGTCTGTGTTTTGGCTCAAAACACTGAATCACAACGCAAGATAGATGCTAAGAGTTAAGTTCTCGTAAAACACTTTGTTTTGAGGGTTCAATTTGCACATAACAAACACAACTGGTCATGTTTTGTGAGCTGGAATTCCATAAACAGCGCTGGGCTATGAGGCTAGAATTGCAGGATTATGCAACGCCTGTTGGCCCAAAAATACTTGTTTTTTCAATTTATAAATTAACTTTGTTGAGAAAAGTACAATACAAATAAAGTTTTATTATCATTATTATACGTCATGAGTCTATTGTGTTACAACAAGAGCACACATTCATGTGTTTTTCATACCTATAGCGCTGAACGTGACAAACGCGTTCTCTCTGGGGTTGATGTTCTTGTCGTAGGGCCTGTTTCCCCACATGTGAGCCGCGCTGTTGACCAGCCAGCTGGCGTTCAGCACCAACGTGTACCTCAGCAGAGCCGGGATGAAGTACGCCACCCACAGAGACTCCCCCCACATGTACCAAGGCACGAACATGGGGACGAAGAAGCACATGACCAGCACAGACGGCCTGTAATACCTACCGAGGAGAAAGAGTGGGCGGAGAGCAGAAAGAATGGAGCTGTTTACTGTGCAACATAAACATTAAACAAACAAATGCTCTGCTTGTCAAAAGTGGGATTGCTCTCACTTTTCTCCACATGACACAGTTTTCACTGAAGCACCACCATTGCTAGTAGTTGTCACCTTGTTTAACCAGAATGACTAACACAACTTGCACTGTAGACACAACTGTAAACTGTAGTGGGTTTTCTTTCTTTGTTCTTTATTTGTATTTGAAATATTATCAGAAAATAAAAATATGAAACAAAATTCTGCTCGTTTACCATCCACACTACCGGCCAAAGGTGTAAACTGCATCTTTTTTAAGATGAAATACTTCCTGGCTGGAATTTAGCTGTTAGCTGAAGTGTATTCATTGACTGAAGCCACTTACTTCCTTTGAAACATCACAACTTTGTCGGCGTACAGGTCAGCAAGCTCCAGCTTGCGTCCTTTCTCAATAACGTCAGGGTGTTTGCGCACCAGCAGCCAGCCAATGTGAGCAAAGAAGAAGCCCCTGACGGCGTTGTGAGGGTCAGCATCAGTCTCAGAATATTTGTGGTGAACCCTGTGGTCACGAGCCCATTCAAAGATATCATTCTGTGGATTCAGATAAAGACAGAGATTACACACACTGTAGACAACACATTGTACTTACACAGTAATGAAAACTGCAATTATCACAACGATAAGTGTGTGCTTGTGTGACCACAGATCTCTGGGATCTGTCACTTTTAGGTACCTGAAATGCCATAGAGTTGGCAACACCAAGAAAGATCCTCAGTGGTAATGTGGCCTTGTAGGATCTGTGACTCCACAGGCGATGAGCTCCTGCAGTAACTCCTAGTGCACTTATCAAAAAACAAAGTACAGCTGTGGAGAGAAATGCATCAACAAATGAGTTTGGCAACCTTCTACTCGTCACCTGTCGTTAGCCCTTTTCTGCACTAATACTATATATTGCAATGTCTATGCATCGGACATGTTATGACTGGGAAGGTGATCCTGCACCAAGTGATATATGTGAGATAATCATCTACTGTTACTTTATGATGCCTGTGTTACTAAAGGGGAAGTCATCCCCCTAAAGCAGACTGTTTTTACATTTTTTAAAATTAAAGGCAACTTATTTGTGAATTTGTTCCAAAATTATCTTCACAGTACAATTAAATGTGCCACAGTAGGTTTACTGCACAATATTCTAGCTGAAAATAATTTTGTACTAGCCTACTTCTTTCACAAGAGATTAAATAACCATGAACAAAGCAAGGCATTTTATATGAAACTGTGACACTCTCTGGGCAATGTAATTATGTTATCAGATGATGGCTGGATGGATAAAACCATTTGATGATTGCATGTGTGATGGGACTGGGAGCATTTAAATCCATTCACAAGTGCAACCTCTATGGATTTGATTAATGGGGAATGCACATACCGAAATGTAATTAAGTAGCATGCGGTTTATGTAACTGGCAACTCTTCCTTTGTCTGCATTCCCATTCCCAACTGTTACTTAATCAAAACCCCATGCTAGTTGGTGTCTGTTGTTAAGGAGTTGTTTTCTTGACAAGCATGCACTGTGCAGTTTGCAGCTTTAAGATGCATGCTGTGACATGAAATCTGTGATGATCTACATGTGGTGACATAACAGCTGTGAATTGGATATTGCATTTCACTCATTCAATATCCACAAAATGCCCCACAATCAACCCCCCAGCCTTTGCAGAAACACTGTTAACAGGTAGGATTTTACTCACACCAAAGCAAGGTCAAAGGAGATGCTGAAGGGATGAGGAAAATGGCGTACAGGGCACTTAAATGCAAAAGACTCATCAAAAAGACATTTCTCCACACGATGACCCTGGCAGGTTTGGGACCCTCTTTTTCTTTGTACGTGTGATCAAACACGTCTTCTATCGTGGCCTCTGGAACAACATTCCCGTTGCTGGACTGCTTCTTCTCCAACGCCTCCGCCTCCGTCATCGTGGCAGCGGTTTTGGTGATGCTGTGGGTGGCAAAGATGAGAGAAATCGGTCACCTCGGTGTTTTTGTGATGACCTAACAGCTGGAGGCTAAAACACCTTCATACGCTGAATGTTAATTATTTTTTTGGTGCTGGCTAGGCTAAGCTAAGCTAGCAGACGATGCTGGTTGGCGATGGTGAGGAAGAGGATGGTCATATAACGATGATGCTGAGTTCTAGCTGATATACGACATTTGCTGCGTTGCGTAACGATGAAATTACACCTGTAGAACAAATAAAAGGTAGATAAATAACTCACCAAAGACTGGAAGAAGAGTAGAAACGTGAGGTGGGCCGTTATACGGAGATAAGGCTGGTCTGCTTAACACAAAACTACAGTAACCCAAAAAAGGGAGAGTGATAGTCAGCTCTGCAGCGAACGAATCAATAAGAGCTGCAACTCGAGGTGTGACTGGCCAATCAACGCTCGGATGCCGCCTCAAGCTCGGGCTCTGATTGGCTGCCTGTTTATCTGCTGTTCACCTTTTATTCATTCTTCTGCCAGATGTATATTTACCTCCCCCGGAGAGAAGCCGCTGTTGTCTAGACATGTATTGAACTACCGCACTCATATTTCCATTCACGCATGGATTAACACGAATCCGGGGCGATGCAAGCAGAGTGACGAGGTGTTAAATTCAGCGATGAAACTGGAACAAAAAACAACTTACTGTACAGCAAACCCAGCTGCAGCGCCCCCCCCCCCTCACCTCCTCTCCCCTTGCGCCCGCCCACATAGTGGAAATGCAGGGATGCATATCGTGTGACATAATTTTCATGCCCCAAAAAGTAATTAGAATTAATATAATTCAGACAATAGGAAAATAATTTAAATATCCACGTAATATTAGAGCAAGTAAAATACTATAACAGATAACAGTACATTAGGGTCACTTTAGAATATACCGCAAGAGAACTAATTGTGTCTATAAACTCGCTGCTGAATAGGAATATGAACGTTTTAATGATTTATCATTTATGTGCTGAAATTCCAATCCAATTCGTTTCAATCAATTAATGCACAAACACTATTAAGTGTGCAGTGAAATTGCCATAACTAAGCGGATGCTGAACCGAGGAGACAGGTACAGATATACCGGTATTTCACAGGACCAAAATGAAAGGGACTGAACACGTGTGTTTTCTCCTCCATGACCTACATTTGAAAACAGACGGTTTGTCTCCATCTAATGGAGAAATCAGGCACTACGCGGAGCTGGACCGTGTGCTCATACCGTGCAAACAGCGCAAACCCCATTTTTTAAAAATACGTCTCCAGACACCAGCAGCAAAGACGATGTCCCGCTGACATTTTAAGTCACAAGACGCACTCAGCATCCCCATGACGTCATCAGCAGGCGCCTTTATTTACTTCTGGTCCAGTTAGCCGAGCTGTCCGCTGCAATGGAAGTAAACAGGGACGAAGCGGAGCGCTGCATTGACATTGCAACTGCGTTGTTAACCAACGACCAGCCAGAGAAGGCGCAGAGGTTCCTGGAGAAGGCGCAGAGACTCTTCCCGACAGAGAAAGCCAAAGGTGAGTTAAGATGGCCGAGCCGAAGTAAGGGGCGCTTCAGCCGGAGAGATACGCAGCATCATCAGCGGCAGCATCACCTGCATCCCGGATGAGCTCTGCAGGGCATGCAGCCGGGGCCTTTGCTAGCACACTGGCTAGCTGGTTTGGTTACTTCGTTCATCACACCTGCTCTTCATAATGTTTTAAATTCAAGAGAGATTAAATTGCTCCTGCTATTTTTAAGAAACATCATGTACACCTGCTCAACATGACACAGATGTGGTAAGGGTGTCATTGGGTGTCAGTTGCTCTTCCATTAGAAAGCTAAGCCTATAAACTACGAGGGGCAAGAGGGGCAGAGGGGCACAAAGACCCTTAGATCAGTGGTTCTCAAAGTGTGGTCATTGAGGGGCTTCAGGGGACCCCCAGCAAGAAGGGGAATCATTTATTTTCATTATTATTTCATTCAAGTAATGTGACATAATGTATGACTATTTTGGGTTTTATACATTTTCTGGGATAAAACATCTTAAAGCAAAAATCCGATCAGATGGGCGACAAAATCTTGGGGTCTGTGTCAAATGGGGGTCTGTGGTCTAATTTGTGTGAATTTAGGGGTCCTTGGTGTGAAAAAGTTTGAGAACCACTGCACTAGATGACCAAGATCCTAGAAGGCCAGTTGCCCATGTGTTATCACTCTGGTTATTGGCTTTAGCTCCAGACCAAGAGATACCATAATAAACAAATACAACACTCAAGAAAAAAGACTGTACTATATGTACTGTGTAGGGTTGCCACTGTATTATATTTGCACGATATGATAACCAACTCAGAAAATATCACAGTTTCACGGTAAACAGCATTACACATTATTATCAGTTACAATGACACTTAAAGGAATTAAAATAGAATGGATTTTTCGTTTTAACAAACGCTTTATGAATTACTTATGATTATGTCCCATGCTTATTCATACATACCTCGTGCATACATATACATTTACCCATATGGAGTATGATGTGACATGCCTTACATTTTATGAATTATGTCACACACTCTGAAAATGCACGTGCACACATATACACACACACATCCTACACTTGTTACAGATTGCTATTATAGCAAAGAGAAAAAATTACAGCAGCTGCAATCAGCTATGCACATCTCTATTAAATGTCCATTATTCACAAACAACTTGGATCATCTTCTTTCTTGGATACATTGTTCTTTTGTGTATCCATGTACAGTTGGTAGAGTGGAAATGGACAGGCGATGTTATATTGTATTGGAAATGAGACTAGATTTGAAATGTTGGTTATTGTGGTATAAGTTCACGGGTATTTGTTTTTTGGTCTGAGGGACGACATGACAATTAGTGACTGCCTTTCTGCCTCAAAAATTTCTTGGGTCCATATATTTCCTGAAAGCACCAACAGATGCTGTGACGTATCACACCCTCTCTATGGTGAATGGTTGTTACCATCAGCCTGGAGGTACAAGGTACTGCCTTTGCGGGCTTCCTGTGCCGGGAGATCCTTTATTCATCCCAGTGTAGCTCTGTTAAACAAATCCTGGTGATACAAGGTGTGTGTTGCTTGCATTTTGTCCTTTGTGCTTAATTATTGTTGTGGAGCACTTTGTTGTTAAATGTCTGTCTGTTTTAATGTATTTTTTACCGAAAGGGTAATAAACAAAACTTCCCGTAAATACTGTCGCATAGATATGCAGTTTTATCAGTCTTGTGATACAGTATATGGATGTATGCAGACATTGAGTACAGTTACTTAAATCTTGTGTATATACAGCAGACACTGTAATAGTGATATAGCTCAAATGTATTTTGGGGGCATTTGGAAGACTCTATTACTGTTAGTTCTCAGGTTACATGACTATTGTAGCTGAGATTTCCCTGGCTGTAAAAATATACAAAATTCACTAGTAGTCATGTTTAGAACATTGTCACATGTATATATGTTGTTATTTTGGTATTTGGTATAAAATACTGTGATGTCTCAGTAGTTTATATGAATAACTCTAGGTCCTATGGGTTAAGTTGGAACACATTTTCAAATGGCCTTCTATTGTGGCCAGCCTAAGGCACACTTGTACAATACCCATGCTGTCTGATCAGCATCTTGATTTGCCACACCTGTGAGGTGAATGGATTATCTCGGCAAAGCAGAAGTGCTCACTAACACAGATTTGGACAGATTTGTGAACAATATTTGAGAAAAATAGGCCTTTTGTGTTCATAGAGAAAGTCTTAGATCTTTGAGTTCAGCTCATGATGAATGGAGGCAAAAACAAAAGTGTTGCATTTATAATTTTGTTCAGTGTAGTTGCTGTAATAATCTAAGAATCTGTCTAACAAACACTTTTTGTGATTGAGGGGCCTGTGTTATAGCATCTACTGATGTGAGGGTCCTTATTATGTTACTATTAATTAGGGGAATATTTTACAGTGTAGTGGTCCCACCTGTAGTATCTGGCACCTGCTGCAAGACCTGCCAGGTCACATAACATTAAATAACATCAACTGCACCGTGTCTGAATATCTTTTAATGTTAGCTGTTATTGTCTCCTTTCTAGTTCTGCTGGAGCTAATAGCAAAGAATGGATTTATACCTAGACACGACGGACACTCAGACTTCAGTGGGGTCTCGGGGCCACGACAGCGGCAGACCAAGAGTGAGGATACCAGACCTGAAGAAAAGCCTTCAGACGCCTCTAAATCCTACACGGCAGATCAGCTAGATGCTGTGAGGAGGTAAGGCTGAAATTTATGAAAATGTTGTGTTGTTTAGAAGGACTAGTTTATACTCCTGACACACCTGACACTGACAATCATGTGTTTTCTCTACACAGGATAAAACAATGTAAAGACTTCTATGAAATTCTTGGGGTCCAGGCAGATGCCTCTGAGGATGAACTCAAAAGATCATATAGAAAACTTGCTTTGAAATTCCATCCAGACAAGAATCATGCTCCAGGTGCTACAGAGGCATTTAAAGGTGACCAGCATGAACTTTTCATCACCTATGCTGGTGTCATGCAAAAATCCTAATGATAAAAGCTTTAATTGTGTTTATAGATGTCTTTCAGCCCATTTTTGTGATGCTCAAGCATAACTTCATAATTTTTCAATTCCAACAGCTATTGGGAACGCGTATGCTGTTCTGAGTAATACTAACAAAAGAAGACAGTACGATCAATGTGGAGAAGAGAGGAGGCATCCTTCAAGACACAGCCCAGACAATGAAAACTTCGAGCCCGATATTTCGCCTGAAGACCTCTTTAATATGTTCTTTGGTGGAGGCTACCCGTCAAGTTAGTGTCTCTGGTTTCCATGCCAAGTTTGTGAGATACAGTATTTTCATTGAATTACTCGTAATGATCTGTCTATTCATTGCTACATATGCTACATTAATCTAGGTAATGCTAATGTGTACACTAACGGGCGGATGCGTTACCAAAGACGAGAGAGAAGGGAGCAACAGCGAGATGTAAGTTTGGTGTTATTATCTCCTGCAAACTGCAGATAATGCAAATAATGTAAAGCGATTGTTAAACAATAGGGGGAGACATTAACTCATCTGTAAGTCTTATGAATGTGTTTGATTCAGCCTTGAGGTTAAGGTGACACTGAAATGTTTTCTTTGCAGGGAGGCCTCGCTCTCTTCGTACAGGTCATGCCCATCCTCATCCTGGTGATTGTGTCAGCCCTCAGTCAGATCATGGTCAACAGCCCCCCCTACAGCCTCAGCTTCAGGCCGTGAGTGTGACCCCTTCTTCTGAACGCCTGCCAAAGAAGGATGTTAAATGACAAAACTGTTGTTGTGCAAAATTCTATTACACTTAGAAGATTATCTTCATTTAACATTAAATTCCAACCAAGGTTCATGACCATGTTTGAAATGTCACTGATTTATAGATTAACCTGCCCAAAAATAGACTTGCTTTTATGATCCTTGCTGTTATATTGCTTCCTAAGACAGATGCATTATATTGACGTTTCAGTTGTTTGATTTAGAAAGAACATCTTGATGTTGCCTTGATTAGTTCCACAGACCTCTTTTGTCTTCGCAAGCATTGCTGGCTCCATGTTGTCTGCCTTTGTGTTTCAGATATACTTCTGTAGTTTCTGGCCCATCTGTGAGCCATCATCAGCCATGAGTCATGTTAACAGAGACACACAGTGCCAGATCCTTTCTCCCTGCGCTGCTTTCGGTCACATGATATTCTCTACCACACTTTGTCCTGTCTTCACGCAGGTCAGCAGGTTACACACAGAAGAGGCTGACGGAGAACCTGAAGGTGCCATATTATGTGGGGGAGCAGTTCTCCAAGGAGTTCACTGGAGTGAATCTGAAGAATTTGGAGCAGACAGTGGAGGATGATTATATTTCCAACCTTCGCAACAGTTGCTGGAAGGAGAAACAACAAAGTATGTTTGCCAGGAAAACAAATTGTGCTTATTTATTTATTTAACCATGAATAGTGAAAGTTGTTTCTGCCATTATCAGTCCAGAGAGAAATGATTAAAGACATATTCTGATTATTACCCCTCATATATCTTTCATGAATTGTTTCTGTGTTTTCCTGCAGAGGAAGGCATGCTGTACAGGGCTCGCTATTTTGGAGACAATGATCTGTACCAAAGAGCACAGAGGGCTCGCACACCAAGCTGCGTCAAGCTGTCCGAGATCACAGCTTCATTACATGGTTGAGGCTGCTTTCATAATTAAAAGCAAGTTCTCCAGACTACCACATTTTTTCACACACATTGTGTAGTGACTACCTGCATGTTTCATTTCAAGTAAAAATCTTCTTCTTCTTCTCCTTATCTCCAGGTTTCCATACTCAACACAAACAATTATTGGCTGTAAATAAATGAGCTTTAACAATCTGGAGACTGAAGATGACTCAACAAGCAACACAAACAAACCAGCACCGATCTGCATCAAACTGACCACACAAACTGGTTGAAACCATCTCTGTGGAATTTTAGTATCTGAAATTTAAACATAATGTTAATATAATGTTTTGAAATGGAAAAGCCACTTAAAATCGCTTGTCTTCCTGACAAGATTGGGGTTCGGAAAACCACCAAGCCACAGTTTTGACTGGGAGCCATGAAGCTGGCTGAGGTCACTTCATGTTTTTTTTTGCAAGAAACTGGTATGAAACCAGAATGTTGTGAGTGTTATATAATAGTACGGATGTTATTTATGTAGCAGTTGACTAGATACCACAGTGAACGCTTCCTCTTTTCATTTTATGCAGTCAGATCAGTGGTGGACACGAGTTTTAGGGAGATTTGCTGATGTGATTTCAAATGCACATTCTGAAACTATGCAGGAATACTGTGAAACCTCTGATGAATATACACTCATGTCCAGGGTTTATCAGACAGTTGAACAACTGAGATTTGTCTTCTGCTGTGTCTGTGTGTGTGTGTGTGTGAGAGAGAGATAACAATTAGGAAATGTCCCTTCACACTTTGCCTCCTTTAATCGTATTAAAGATAGACTTACATAGTGTAACTTGACGGCACTTAGAATAAGAGAGACGTGCCTACCCACAAAGTGGGACTTTAACAGGTTCTAGTTTTGGAGCATAATGTCTCTGATGAAAATCATCTTTTGGGAAAAAGCAATTATTTGTCACACTTTTTAAGTTTATAGTATGCTATTTATTTTTTGTATTATTTATTTTAAAAATGGATTGTCAGACTAAGAAAACACTACAGCTCTTGCTCACTTTTTTCCACCTTGTTTTTACTCCCAGATGAAAATAAATATGGATGCTTAAAACGTGTTGGAAGTGACTCGTCGCTCCGAGCAGAATGTGCAGACAAAAGCTCAGTCAGCACATTCGGCACGTTAAGCCTGCCGGCTGACTGACTAAAGGCTGGGAACTGGAAAACATGGCTTTCTGCACGTTCACATTATTGGGGGACGTGCAACATGTGCCCGGCAGGAACCGCAGCGTCACACACTTTAACCACAAATGTACTCTGCTGTTTTTGGCAGATGTTACACCTCCGCTTTCTAATTTTAACTTGACAGATTTTGTTTTGAAACATGATGTGGCTGATGACGCCTGGCCCATGTGCCGGTCAACTGGTCTATATCACAATAAAGCTGAACAGTATTCCTCCCCACTACAAGTATCCTAGTATTCTGGTATATTTTGTTAAAGAATAGGCATACAGCTTCATATATGTGGTTGTGTATTTACCAGAATCGAACAGAAACTTTAAAAAGACTTCAAAGGAAATTTGAACCAGGATGTAAAACTACAAATGGAGTTTCATGAAATAAGACACCAGAAAAAAAAGAATTGTTAAAAAAAAATATATTTGCAATCATGAAAGTACAAAAAAGTGCAATGTAATGAGTATTTGAATGTCAAATAAATAAAGTTGAAAGCAGGACAGATCTACACAGATACAAGATCAAGTTATATTTGCTCATCTTAGCTTGCACATAAACTGCACAAGGCAATCACTGGTAGGCCTTTGCCCTTGAAATCAAGCAGCCACTAAGGTCCCTAATGGTTTGCTTGGTGTACAATTCATCACTTGTGTGCATTACAATGAATTGCCATGTTAAAAAAAAGAACAATGGTTTTCAATGACTGTTAAGCGTATAGCTAGCTGCCGTTGTGTGGTTTCAATAGAAACTGAGGTACGTACTTTAATACTCACAAAATGCCAATTCACCACATATATCATGATGGTTACACATTGTAATTTGAAAATGTGACTGTCAGTGAGGAGTGAGTGTTAAAGCAACACCTGCTCCAGGTACCATCAACTTCATTTCCTTTACAGTAGGAACAATAGGCTACACCATGGCATCCATCCTTGCACTTCAGAAGGCATCATACACATGTAGTTATAGTAATAAGGCCCTTCTGTGAGCTTAACTGGGCATTTTAAAAATGCAGACAATAAAACATCGTCAGTCCCTTACATTTTTTAACATTCCTCAATGAGCAGTTCTTCAGAACAATACAGTTTCTTCTTGATCACGCGGAAACCAGTGCTAAGCTTAATAGCTGGTCTCACTATCGGAGTGGAAGGAGACTTTGTGCTAAAAAGTCCTTGGATTTTTGGCCACAGCCCGCCAGACTCTAGCCTCAACACCAGAGTCAGCTGAAAGGTGGGGACAAGGTAGGGGTCCACAGATAGCTGTCCCATGCTCTCACAGACGACCCCTTGCTCCACACAAAGGTCAATGAGAGCCCCTCTTAAACCGCAGGGCTCACTAGCTGCCAGGTGAAGGAGCTCCTGTCCGATGTGCTCCAGAAGTTTCTCAGGGATGAGCAGTTTGGCACATCGTAAGGCGCAGTCTGAGTCTTTGGCTTCTCTCAGGCTGCCTGCAATAAGGTCCACTACTTCTTTCAGGATGGTCTCCTCCATTGGATCATAAAACAGATCTTCATTAGAGGGACACAGGTCACTATAGACATCTGACCCTGTTAAAGAGAGACAGTGGGTTAGAACTGGAACCTTGTACAAGGAGGAAAATCTAATTCACCTCTTAAGTGAAGTGTTAAAAATGCTTGCAGTGGTTTTTTTTTTACCTGAGTCCGAGAGATCACTCCTGCTGCCATTGTTAGACCCAGGCTCAATACTGCTGTTGTTGGCAGACGTGCTGAAATCAGTCAGTCTTTGCACCAGTTTGCCCCAGGACAGCCTCCTGGGACTGATGCCCACTGGAAAAGGGGGTAAGCTGCCGATATCAGTTGGTGTTGTGAGAGCAGGCATGGTTTCCTTCTTTGCAGTATTCAACAGTGTCTGCTGCTTCAGTGGTCAGCTGTTTATGAGGAAACAAAAACAACTGATAAACACTCAAACTCCAGATGAAAGGCAGTAACTATAGATTAAATTAAACATATGTAGGAGGAATTTACATAATAGCTTGTTAAGGAATGTTATACGTTTAGTATATAACTTAAGTTTAAAGCAAGAACACCTTTGTTTGACGGTAGCTAGCAGCTCTTTAACTGTTCAAATTAGCTACCAAGCTAGCAAAATTAACAATTGTAACATAGTACTTACAGCTTATTTAACAACTGCGCCGTTCAAGTCCGTTGTCGATGTTTAAGACGGTTTTTGAATGGTTATTGTCTACAATAACTGTAGTCTAACTTCTATCCTCTAACCTTGCTCTCTCTCTCTCACCAACTGCCCAGCGCTGCGGCAGATGCTGCAACAATGCTTATATAGGGGCCGTTCGGACCCGCCCACCGCACTCCAGCCAGCCAATCAAAAAGGGAGGCACGCCATCTGCGCTGTATCTTGCCTGGTAACATGCCAGCAGAGAAGAAAGGCAAACAGGCGGAGAAGGGGGGTTGGAGTTGGGGTGATGAATAGCAGATCCCAGTGTTGTGGAAATGTACAGGGACTTGCCTGGACTTGCAAGGATCATATTGTGTTTCTTTGTTTAATATCCTTCATAAGCATAAATAAATGCCTATGCTATATGTGCACCCTGAGTATTGACAGCAGCACTGAATAAAGTTCATGCAGGCTTGGCTTAGCTCAGCTGGTTCAGTGTGGCATTGCACATTACGTCACCTGTTTTGCTCAACCATTACATCAGAATTTTTCATCTACCGCATTGAGGTGCAAACAAAACAGTCAGCTGCATGAAAAATGACTTGGTACATGATACAATGTTAAAAAATACATTTTATATTTATAAAGATGTGCCACACATTTCCCTACATTTGCCCTCAAATGGAACAATGAAAAAATGCAGATCGATAGGAATGCAGCAGAAGAGTAGCTGACACTATTTAATTATTTTTTTTAGCATTAATTTTGCAAAATATTATCTGGCACTATTGAAGTGCTTTAAAGTATAACAAACGATGCAACGGAATTATTTTAAACAGTTCATGTTACATCGAGTTCTGATACACCAGATGGTTACACATGCAAATTGAGAAATGCAGTGCAAAGCAGAAACTACTGCGGTCTTTGTGTCTGGCAGGGTCTGAACTGTACAATGTTTACTCAAAGAAGTTTTTGGAAAGCAGCCAGATATATGCTGTGCCGCACGTGAGTGGGATGTACTGTGCTTTATATCAGGGAGGAACTGAAAGACGTAACGTGTCGGCACAGAACATTCTGAGAGGGACGTTATGAATTAAGGAAAAAAAGGCTTGTCAAAGTATGTATGTTCAGATACAAAGACTGTGGATTCAAGTTAAAGGCTTCAGCAGCACGTGTAAAAACTGGAAAGCTTGTCAAACTTTTAATAACTAATGGCAAAGAACTTGTAAAGTGAATTCCTAGAAAATATGTGGCAAAACGAACTTCTGAACTCTCAAAAGGAAATCTAAGCTCCGGCTAGGGGTGTGTCTTGTAATGTCCAAGGCCGTCCTTATACATTTACACCCAGAACAGTACGTTCTGTTCGTTCCCACCCTTCATTTGTTTTAAAACAGTCACTGAGCAAAACACCAAGAGCGTCACGTTTCCTCGCTGTCAACACAGCAGAGAAGTGACACAGAGAACCACATCGACTTTCAGTCTTGAGCACATCCAAGTAACAGAATAATAGTACATATGTCCATCAGCTGTGTAAATTGAGACAACATTAAACAATCAGCACAAACATTTAGTTGCCTCTTAATTCAGTGAGGTGGATTAGCCCAATTTATACAAGACAAAGCAAACAAACAGCAACTGACCCAAGGAATGTCCAAGTATGACTTTATTTACAAGCTCTCTTTGTTTGCTCCAAGTGTTGTTGGAGCTAGCAGCGAGGAGAGACCACAGAGAGCCGAGCAGAGACTGAGCAGGCAGCAGGTTTTCAGATTTATGAGTTACAGTGCAACAATGTAGAAACACAATGCCTCACTTCAATGGATTTGTTACATTACCAAAGATGTTCTTTCCATTAACAGTGAGACTAAGAGCATTTGACTGGCAAAACAACTTGATTAGCCTAAACCTGTTGAAATATTCAGAATGTATTAAAAAGTTTTGAACTGTTTTAGTATGCTGAGTAAAATATAACAAGTTGTTTTTAAAAAAAAACCCTGCTCATATAATAAAAGTGACGGAAAAAAATACATCTCACATTCAGTATCTCCAGATAATATTTCACGCTTAAGATATATAATAAAACCATAAAGAAGGAATATTTTTTATTTTATTAACTGAAATTAACCACCTCCTTCTATTTGGCTGATTTATTAAGCAAAGGCATCTGGATATCTTTATTTAAGACGGTGTAAATCCCAATAGCTGTTCAATTGGTTTGTATCGCCACTCATCTGCCTCCAGCTCCTCCACCAAGCTGGCGAGCTTCTCCATTCGAGACACCTGTTGATCTGGAAGAACACACAATCGTTACTTCATTAGGGCACTCGCTGTTCATGAATCAGCCAAAACAAAACACATTTTGCATATATGATTACTGACTTACCATGTTTAACTTGTTTAAGTGTGGAGGCAACTTGGTAGCTGAACACAGACTCACACAAAAATCTGTCAGAGCCATCTAAAAATTTAAAAACAAACACACACACACACAAAGTTAAATGCAGGTAAAGATTTCTGACATAGATAACACTACATAATTCAAGCATTAGTTTAACGCAATAGAAAAGGTCAAATGGAGCTTAGGAAGCTACTCCAGAAAGAGAACTTCAGGTTAAATATTATGCAGTTTTCAGCATTATGTAAAATGGACCTTCACAATTTAAACAAAAAAAAAAAAAAAAAAAAAAAAAAAAAGAGACTCGAGACCTTCAGCTTCACTGTAATCCTATTCATCTCTTGGTTAGCTGATTTTAACCCTGCAGCACTCTGTGCACTTTCAACACAAGCCAAACTAACCACATTTATTTGTGTATTTTGAGCTAGACAGGCAACAAAGTAGGTGTAAAGAGCCGGAGACAGTCTTTAGGCCCCATTGGCCTCCACCTATGTGGAGAGGTAATGAAGATGATGATGTTGCTAATGTTAAATTCACATACATGGTCACATGTTTATTTGAACAAAGTGCTACATGGAAATTCAGTAAAAAGAAAGAGGACACGAGTTTTGCTTTATTATAGTCACACATTTCATCTTAGTTTTTACACAAGACTGACCAAGCATCTGTCTCTTTAAAAGATAAATACAAACCTTAAAAAAAGTAAAGTAATTTGACAACACATCTCTCTGTTTCCAGGTTCCTTAGAGCCTGTAATGCTGCACAATAACAAAGATTTTTAACTAGCTTTCCAAGCTGTTTCTTAATAATTTAACAAAGACGGCAGCCAGAAGGGATATTTAGAGTGATGCAAGAAAAACATGTATGCATTGTATATATGAAAACAGAAAATCAGTTCAATAACCTAATAAAAAACATTTACCTTGGTAATTCATTGTGCAAGAGAAGCAAGTAGACGTCACATCTTGGCTTGAACAACTTGGGAAATGCGTGACATGGTCTTTATTGTATTTATAGCTGAATATAAGAGGCTCAGAGGAATCTGGAAATGTCAGCTATGAGACTTTTCATACCTTTTCAGAATTTGGCTTGTATGTGTATCATTCAGAAAAACAGATGCTTCTGTGACCTGAATGCATAAGCCTTAAATCTCAGTAAAAACAATAATAGCATGAGGAGCACAAAGTGGCTATGCTGTATGTGCATCCTAAGTATTTACAGCATTGAATACAGTCCATGCAGGTTAGGCTCAGCTGTTTCAGGGTAGCTGACACTGATATTTAATTATTTCTTTAGCATTACTGTCAAAAATTATGTTCTGATGCTGCCAAAGTGATTTAAAGCATAACAAAGACAGCAAGAGCATTAAATTAAAACAGTTAATTTGTTACAGTAAGTTATGATGTACCAGATGGCAAACACAAGGAAATTGCAAGATAACAGAAAAAAATAAACTGCTGCTGTGTTTCTGTCTGGCAGGGCCATAAAATACACAACATACTGAATGTTGACTCAAAGATGTTTTTGGAAAGCAGCCACGTGTATACGGCGCTGCTACATGTGAGTGGGATGGACTGTACTTTTATGTCAGGGAGGAACTGAAAAACATAAACACGTGTAGGCAGAGTACGTTCTGAGGGGGATGTTATGGATTAGGAAAAAAATGGTTGTTCCCTTTTCAGATGCAAAGAATGTGAACTCAAGTTAAAGGCTTCAGTATCTCATGTGCAAACAGGAAACCGTTTCAAACTTTTAAGAACTATGTGCAAGTTGTTATGATTGTTGCTTAATAATCTAAAAACAAAGATGGCAGCCAGAAGTGACATTCAGTATGATGGAAAAAAAAAATATGAAGACAGAAAATCAGATCAATTCGGATAAATTACTTTTAACGTTGGTAATTCATTGTTCAAGATAAGTCACATCTAGCTGCCATCTTCTCTGTTGGCTTTAACAACTTGGGAAATGGGTGACAAAGGTCTTTATTGTGAAGCCCACATATTTCTTTTTTGTTTGTTGTTCCAGGTAGAAGAAGATCTGATGAATCTGGATACGTCTTCAAAACGGCTGTAAGACCTGTCAGACCTTTTCTGACAGGTCTTACAAGCTGAGTTTGGCTTGTATGTATTGTTCAGGGGAAAAAACGAACAAAAAAAACACAGTTGATTAGCTTTAGCAATCCCAATGTCTGATTTCCATATTCCTTCCCTCGCTGGGAGGAAAGAGATAGCGGGGGAGAGAGAGAGATAGCTGAAGACGGATGCCTTTAGCTGTGTGTTTTGTCTTACCTTCCATCATTTCACCTGCACCTTTAGGATATGTGTAAAGGACTTTCCTGGGAGGGATGAGCTCTGAAGCACTGAATCCAGAGCCGGTTACCGAGCTGCCGCTCACACCTCCCGCAGAAGAGGACGAAGAAGACGCTGCCATTGCTTTTGGAAACTTTAAAACACACACACAAAATAACTTTTACCAGAATTACATGTGAAACATAACTTACGTACAGTATGGAAGACTAGCGTTTTAGTAATCATGAAGGCAGTTAACCGTAGCCAATCCAGCCTACGAAACTAACATTAGCTGGTTTGCTTCTTTCCTAGCTTTATTTATGGTAATGGTAACGTTACACTCGAAGCTATCAACAGCTAACGTTAGGTGGCTAGCAAGAAAGCTAACTATACTGCTGAACTTAGGCAACTACCATTAACCATTAAAGTTACTAGACACAAAATAACAATAACTAACCTTTACTAACAATATAACTTAGAGTCAATGTCCCCGTAAATCTATAAAGACTTTAAATCCGCGCAGTTAGTCCCGTTTGTTTAACGTTAGCTGTCTTAACGTACCACCATAGACTGTATACGACAACGACAACGCTTTACGTTTAAAGCGAGAGCATTCGTACCACTGATTTTAAAGCACTGGGGATGGATCACCTTTCACGGAGTGGTCGTTTTCTTCCGTTTGTAGATCTACCAAACAAAAAGCGGCCACTGTGTGTCGTAAACCAATGAAACCGATGTGTGAACGTCAGCTAACTAGTACGTTGTGAGCAACTAGCTAGCTAAATAAGTTTTTAAAAAGCTTCATGAGCTAATTTACACCCTTCTTCGTGTAGCTAAATTATCAGGGAGCTATCCAGATATTTATTTTTGGTGTTAGGTTAGCTTAGGGGTAGCTAACGTAAGCTAGCTTAATTTACATTATGGAGGTTTTACGTCCAGCTCTTATCAACATAAATGGGAGAATATACCGAAGGAATGTCATTAAGGAGGAACATTATGAGGAAGAAGAAGATTTCTCTTACATGGGACCACCTGGTATGTTGAGTACTGTCATAACAACTAACGTTATGTCATTATAAACATTTGTACGAAGTCCCAGACAGAGATGTCAGGATGTAAACATAGCTACAATTTCTTTAAAATGAAACCTGTCATATACTTTTATATTTATGATTTACTATGTTTAGACAGTGAAGACCTTGCAGCTGATGAAACCTGTGATACCCACTTCATTGAACAGATTGATAAGGGATACCGCTGTGCCATTGACGTCCCAAGTGTTCTTTACAAGTGAGCTATCTACAGATGTGTTATGAATGTTTTGTACGTTATCTGCCCCAGCTTGAAAAGCATAAGACGTTTTGTTTATACGTAGTGTAATGTGTGTTTCTTTGTTTTTTTGCTTGTTCTACAGATACATCATTGGGAAAAAAGGAGAGACACGCAGACGTCTGGAGTATGACACAAAGACATCTATCAGCATCCCAAAACAAGGAGTGGAAGGACAGATAGGTGAGGATTAAGCATAATAAAGCAGGTTAGAGAGCACTCTTTGAAACGAAAGATTTCCTCTCAACTTTCTTCCTTTGCCTGACAGTTATCACAGGTTCCCATAAAGCTGCAGTCACATCTGCAGTCACACGAGTTGAGGTCCTTGTTGAAAGTTTCCGGAAAAAGCAGCCTTTCACGCACTTCCTGTCATTTCCTCTGAATGATGCAAAAGTTCAAGAAGGATTCCTGAGATTTAAAGATGAGGTTTTGCAGCAGTGTTCACAGGTACTGTAGAGGAAAACTCAAATATTAATGGTAATGATGAAGGGCAGTGGTAGTCATGGATTGTTTAATTGTTTGATCAGCACATTATATCCTTAAAACATTCTGCATTGTTGTTATATGCTGTGCAGGATCATGGAGTAGAGGTAAGCATCTTTCAGAACCCTGCAAAGCTTCACCTGACAATCGGTACCATGGCTCTGTTAAATGACATGGAAGTGAGAAAAGCATGTGCACACCTCCAAGAGTGTCAACACTTCATCAGGTAGGGGCCAAACAATGTTTTTATATCACACTAACATTTTAATTATAACTAAAAGCACTTTAGTTTTTTTTTTTGCCAATCCCATATCCACTATCCTGCTGCTGTAAATTCTCACTATTGCCCCAAATATACGGCAGAATGTCCCTAACAAATACAACATGCACTCTTTTTGAGTAACATTTACTAAGACTACCTGTTTTAAGAAATAGTTTTGCCTGTTTTAAAAATTTTAAAATTCTAATCTAAAAGCAACCCTAAATTATAAACCTGCTGTGCCTATTGCGATCTGCTTTTTGATGTCTGCCATCAGGGACATCACAGAAGGAAAACCACTGCCGTTGCAGGTGACAGGTATAGAGTACATGAATGATGACCCAGCAATGGTGGACGTCTTGTATGCCAAAGTCAACGTGAAAGACAAATCGGACAAGTAAGTGAATCACTAACAAATCCTGTTAAAAGATATCTACAAGTTTTTATTTCACTCGAATCTCTTTTTCTACAGTATTTGTTTAATATTGTTGCTCTTCAGGTTACAGATGATTGCGGACCGGCTGGTAGAGCACTTTGTCTCAGCAGGGCTAATGCTCAGAGAGTGGGACAGAGTTAAGCTGCACGGAACTGTGATGAACACTCTGTTCAGAAAGGACTCCACAGGTAAAAACATTGCATACACATGACAGGCCAACCAGCACTGTGTCTTTAGCTTGTGGAAAAAACAAAACAAAGTTATTGACTTGCTGTGAGCATATCGGTAGCTCTTGTCCAGAACCTGTTTGCCAAAGTCTCCCTATTATCTCTTTGCTCAGACATGCGCTGCAGTGACGACAAAACTTAAGCTTGAGCAATTACAACAACAAATTTCCAAAGATAGGCATCAGGCAGCTAGTTCTCTGTTGGACACAGTTCTGTTTACGTGCACCAAGCAGCATGTTTTCCAAGTACTCTGACAATGGCTTCATTCATTTTGGCCATGGACAAAGTCCAGCCCCAGTTCTCAAATTTGTACTGGGCTGACCAACAACACAGCACAAGCAAGAGACCCTGGCACTGCTGACAATGTTTGCCAGCATGTAGATGAATCCTATTAAAATTCAGTGTTTTTTTTCTTTTCCTTAGTCCACTGTTTCACAAACTAAATGACCTTGATTATCACCTTACTATTTCCAACTGCAGCAGCACGTAAACATGTTTATTTCTGTGTTTTTGTGTTCTGTGTTACATTGTTCAGCTTGTTTTTTACACTCTGGTGTTTTTCCAGTTGAAGACACAGGCGGCCCAGGAAGACAAATGAATGAAAGAGAGGCTTTTGATGCCAGAAACATATTAAAGGTTAGAGGAAATTTTACTCCTGCCTGCCCTTTTAAATACTGCTGAATTACAAACATCCAGACTTGTGCTCACTACCTGACTGCTGTTAATACCAGATGACACATGAGGATTTTGAAATAGTGTTTAGCTATGAGGCAGGCGAGAAACATAAATATAGGCCTGTTTATAAATTCACTGCCAGTCAAAAGTCCTTAAACACCCTTTTATTATTCTTAATTAAATTTTGAAAAATAGTTAAAGGTACTATAGGAGGAATGAGGAATGTTAAACTAAAATGTGTGGAAATGAACTAGATGTTGATGGCTCTATTGAGGCACCTGCAGCAATATTGCACCATACCACTGATGCAACATTGTCTGCATTTTCAACATACTATGTATATGTTTTTCAACTGTGGCTGACATTTTCACTGCATCTGGAGTCCCATTGTGATATGAGAGCTTTCCAATTAATAGGCCTCAAAAAAGAGAGAGATAAGTCTTTGTGGGGCAACAGTCTGATAGCACAGAGGATAATCAGGTTAATTTGGGGGCTAAATCTCTCCTACTGACAATCGCAAAAGGTGTTAGGATTTCAGGCTGCTACTAAATGATCATGCTCCCAGACCAGATGCAATGTGTAATTAGACGTTAACCCTCCTGATCTACGTAGAAGCCAGTGGTCCCCCCAATTTCAAATAACAAATAAAACATCTACATAAGCTGTTTTTACAGCAAACATTTTGACTTGTCATAGTAGGAGAAGCACATGTGAGACTAATAACATTAACGATGGCTCTGTACCATTGAAGTGCCCCAGTAAGCCGTGACAGTGAGCCTGAAATAGAAGCAGCTAAATTTAATTCAGCCATCATTAATTTTATTATACACCTTTGCTATTCCTACTGTGGCATGTTAAAATATCTTATTTTAAATGGGCTATTGTGTGCTCTTTTGTATCCTGTGGTGTGTGACAGAAAACATTTTATTACATAGGAATTGCATAAACTGATCAGTAAAGGTCTAGCAGACCCACTGCACATGAACAACATGTAGACAGTTCTGGTAACAACTGTAAGACATGTTTGTTTTGCTGTAGGTGCCTTATTGAACTGATCATCAGACTGTTAGATCCTGGTCATCTAGGTCTTATTTCCAATAACATGAAAAGATAAAATCATTTTATCCGCGTGGGCTTAATATTTCAACATGCTACCAAAAAACCGAAATATAGGGTGCTAAAAGACTATTAACTGGTAGAAAGATTTAGATCACACGCTGCTTAAGAGTTTATTGATTTAACCAATTATCTAGGTGAACAAAAATATGCCTGGGTAGCTCAAAGAGGAGAGTTTTGATTTTAGATTTTTTTAAAGAAACTAAGAGGCAGACTTTAAATTCTTCCAGGTGACGTTTCTTTGTGAGTGACACATGAAATATGACACCAAGTGGAGTGGAGAAAAAAAAAAGGAGAAGAAAAAAGCTCTGAAATCCACCCTCCTTTCTTCTCTGGATCAGAGAAGGTCTTTGTTTGAATAACAAAATCCTTGATTTTCTTTTCTCTGAAAATGACACAAGGGTGCCTACCAACTGCTCAGTCGCCTGTAACCATGGTAACTCCATGTTTGTGAGTGACTGCTTATCTTAATTTCCCCAAAGGGGCGACTTTTTAAACATAGTGTTGACTTTTCCAAATCATTTAGTGGTTAGACTGCTTTGTTAATGACAACGTCAATTGATTGTAATTCATAATAAGCTGTAATGATGATTGGTTATGATGAGTTTGTGTTTTTGAAGTTTGCTGTTTTCATTACAGAAATTTAGTGCTCATTGTTTCGGGGAGTTTGAGCTGAATACCGCCCTGTTGTCCCAGAGATATTCGACAGACTGTACGGGCTACTACACCTCTGCAGGGAGCATCAGCTTCTCATGAGCATCAACAGGGCCGAACAGATTCTGAGGTGGGAAATGAGTAATGAAGAAGTAAGTTTAGCTAATATTTGAAGCGGTCTTGATGGTGTTTTCCACTAGGTGGCAGCATAGGGTTTTATTTTTAATTTCAAATGACTTGTTACAATTATATCTGAACCAAATTATTTGTTTCCTTAAACCGCCTGGGAAGAGTTTATGCAGAAAAATGAAATGATCAGAGTGCAGAATGATTGAAATTTCAGACTAAAGCTCATTCAAAAGATGGAACATGCATGCAGAGTCACTCTGAGAAGCTCTAGGTAGTCAAATTTCAGTTTTTGTACTTTAGTCTTTAGAGAATTGGTTTTCTACAGGGAATCTGAGTCAAACAACATCAAAGGAAGTGACACAAAATACATTTTAATGGAACAGCCTATCAAACCAAAACATGAAAAAAGCAAGAATTTCAGTGTACAAGGTTTGTTTATTATACAGCATAAAAGGCTGCATAACGAAACAAAATTTGTAGTTCCTTAATAACACACAACATATAATTAAGTGTAGGCCTATATTAAAATATGGTAACATATAAAATAAAACAAAACAATATATACAGTTATTAACGTATATACAGACACATAAACACCCCGAACATTCCACAGTGCATTTTTTGAATTTGAATTTGCATTTGGGGTGAATGTAAACGGCAGCAATCAGATGACATTTGGGTCCATCTTGACTGTGTTTGTGCACCAAGCGTCATCGAGTCCACCTCCTCTCATCTTGCCGGAGTCTTGCGCTGACAGCTTGGAACATGGACCACCTGCTGAGTGCTTGAAAGAGGATTTTGATGGGGCAGGTCTCTGTAACGATGTGGGTACAAAAGTCTCTGAATTCTGTTGCTTGGTCAACATGAGTCCCATCTTGTCCAGACCGGATCTTTAGGAACAAAATTAAGTCCAAGCTGGGCCAGCATAGCTCCTCTCCTGGCTCTTTTTCCTTTCCTCTGAGCGATCGCCGCACCCGCTGTGGCTCCTATTCCGCTTGTTTGGGCCAGGTGGATCGTGGTCTGCTGCTTATTAATCCAAAAACTTCATCTTCCTTTTCCAATGACTGTGTTTATATCAGAGGTAACACATGTTTCGGCAATAAAGCTGGAAAAAACGGATAAAAAAACAAAATTGTAGGGAAGTTTGAAGGAGCTACCGGCTGCTGCTTCTACAAGCGCTGCCGATTGCCATAGCAATCATATACGTCCCTGTTTGCTCTTAAATACTCTTGTCTTGCTTTTAAAAATATATGGTTTTCTTTTGGATTTGAGTCTTATACAAGTAGATTGACTTTGTGTATGAAATTGTATTGTTGAAGATGAAGAAAGTCAGACAGGAGTTGGGCTCAGGCTTTAGATCTCAGGTCAGGGTTACAGTGTCTGTAGAGATGAATAAAATATATAAGAAGTGACTTTTTGTTCAAATGTAACAAATTACAATTACTGAAGTAAACAGTTTTGAGATACATGTTCTTGAGTAGGGCGGCACGGTTCCCCCGGCCTGTATGTGTGGAGTTTGCATGTTCTCCCCGTGTCTGCGTGGGTTCTCTCTCGGGTGCTCTGGCTTCCTCCCACCGTCGAAAGACATGCGGGCCTAGGTTGATTGGTCCTTAGGTGTGAGTGTGACTGGTAGTTTGTCTATGTGTGGCCCTGCGATGGATTGGCGACCTTTTGCCCGATGTCAGCTGGGATTGGCTCCAGCCCCTCGACCCTGTACGCAGGATAAGAGGTTGACGGTGGATGGATGTACTTGAGTATTTCCATTTGATTTGACTTGTTACTTTATGGATCGACTCCGCTACATTTCAGAGGCAAAAATTTTACTTTTTACTCCACTACATTTACCTGATAGCTATAGTTACTTTGCTGATTATGATTTTACAGACAAAACATGTGAATGCTGTTTACACATGAATGTGAAGTTAATAAATAACTCAAGTATTGTACATTTAATAATACAGCACTTTAAAAGGGGGCATTCTGCATAAAGATTAAATATTTCCGATAATACTATACGTTTACTTTTTAAAGCCAAGAATACTACTACTACGGTATACAGTATGTCATATACTGTATGTTCTGTCCGGTCATACAGGAAGTCAGTATTAATGGCATGTTCTGAATAATTTATTCTGCCCACCGTCTCATCGGTCAACCAGGATAATAGCTGAAAAAGGTGTTTAAAGTTTTTTCTCCGTTCTTCAGCTAATCCCAGCTGCTCTATTTTGAGGAACTCAGATTTATACTAGCAGAGTGTGAGACAAATATTGCAAATATTTCATTTACAAGGAAAAGTCCTAATAATAGCAGAATAAATGTTCTCTAGAAATGCTTTTATGGTTGTCGAAACATTCAGGTTGATATGGTCTCATCCACTTACTACTATATTACCAATTTCCTTTCCTCTCACTTTCGCATAATTGTTCATGCGTCACTGACATGATTTATTACACCAGCCTTTTTTTTGTTTGTTTTTCTGTCTTTTTTATCAGTGGCCTTCCCAAACATACCCCAACCTCTTTCCCACTCCCGTCTGTCCAGTGTGTCAGTGAATACAGACATCAGACACAGAGCCCGACTTTTGCAGTCCTCCCCTCAGCTGGCGTTGCTCTCCGTTTGGCATGCAGGAGGGTGATCGCAGAGTGGCCAAAAGTTACATTGATGGAAACTGAGGGCAGTGTGTGTTTGTCAGCTCTGCCACCCCGTGCTGTCCACCCTCCCATTTCAGCAGTGGCGTGACTTGTTTTTGTTTTTTTTCCTGTTCTCCTGGAGCCATGTCAACAGACACCATTAGATAGGGACATGCAAATTCTGTTATCTGAAAACAGCCAGCCAAGCCGTTCACTATAACTATGGCTGTGGTACTGTCTGGGCTTCATCTTTTCAGACCCAGGAAAGGGGCTTAATAAACCACTCCCTGTCTCCTGAGAGCATGGTTGTTAGTGGGTCAGGAGTGCACGTCCACCATAACACAACTCTCAGGTAACACATACAGCAAGGATTCTGGGAATAGCCAATGTGATGCTCATAAGCACACAGAGAGGAGAAAGAAGATGATTTGCAAGTTAATGAAATTCATTGAGATTGTGCATCCTTGTTTCTTTTGGCAGGGACATGATTAAGGATGCGCTGGGCAGATGTCCTCAGTAGCGATGGGACTGAAAACACATGCGAAGGAACATACATCATCCACAGACAGACTGAGACGCTGACGACATGTTTAATTTGTCAACAGATTTTAATATAAGATGTTTGGACTACATGTTTATTTAAATGGCCATATGTGTGTTTTGTTGCATAAATCAGGAACATATTGGACTAGGGCTCCAATGAACAATTGGGTTTTAGTCAGTCAATTAGTGTATTATTTTATCAATTAATTGAACAAACGTGTAGTCTATAAAAATTCAGAAAGATGGGGAAAGTGGGAAAAATTAGGAACATTTAAGATTCATAATTTAGCAGATATAAGCAGCAGAGTCCAAGATGGCATTTTTAAAATCAGTTCAACTAACAGACCAAAACAGAGAGCAAGTTTTTGTGGTTTTCTGGTTGATAAATAAACTGTTGGTAATGATTTGAATTGACTCAACAAAATAATGTTGCTGTGCGTGTCTGTGTGGGTGAGCTTGCTTACGCACTGCCTGACATGCATATTTTTTTATATTCCTGCCACATCTCTCAACCTAATTAGTCAGCTCTGCACTTCCTGCTGTGAGAACTTCCAACGTGACCCCTGAGATTTCGAGACTAGCATGTGTCCCTCTCAATAAGCCGGAATAAACGAGATGAAAATTTTATGAAGATGATAATGCAAATTTGTGTTGCCGTGGACCTGTTTCCTCTCTGGATGAGCATCCTTATTTTCTGAGGAGAGATCTGAGGAGACACAGGTTTTAATTAAAGTTTAGTTTAGATGTCTTTGCGGGCATGTGTGCATTGATGAGTCACATAGGCTGTATGTTCAAAAAGCTGGTCTGCTACACCCACAGAAAACCAGTTAGTATTTTCCAATTAACTTTTTTTCCCTCTGTAGAAAGAAAAAGCTGTCATTTTAAGAGAAGCGAAAGCCAAGCAACCACTTAATTGACCCTGTAACACTCTAAGAACTTACACTGAACCTTTTAGTAATGAGAATTCATATCATGTTTGGTAACTGAAGTCTGGTGTTATCTCTAAGTATAGTTTAGGCCTCTATCCAAGGCCTCTATTGCATTTTTAATTTCATGCCAGTTTTCTAAGTAGCCTTTTATATTTTTTAAGGCTGTTTTGAAATAGGTCTAACATGATCAATGTCAAACTTTTTTTTCTTTTAGCACATTTTCATATTCAGAACCACACTATGCAATTTTTCATAGTGTAATTAAAAATTAAGCTTTCATTCAAGGGCTGGCATTAACATCTGCTCGGGGGGGAAAAAGATGATATTTGACGGACGTGACCTTTTGATACAATAGATATGTTTGATTTGCATACTCCAACTAATAACACACATGAAATTGATTAAATGCCTGGTTACTTTCTAAGGTCACGCAAGTTTCACCTGTGTGTGCATTTTAAGGCACAAATGTTGACGGGGTTCATTTAATAGAGTGATGCATAGAATATTTTAAACCAAATCCAATTAACCGAAAGAATGAACTTGACAACATGAAGGGAGCACTAAGATGAAATTTCAGGAGGTAGCCTCATTCTCCTGGAGGCATGTTTTCCCCTTAACAAGCAAAATTGTTTTAAGAAGGTCTTTTGATTGATCAAACACGTCTATCCACAAGAAGTTACAAAGGAGCTCTATATATGATCCTGCCAGACAAAGCAGAGGAATCTTTCAAATTGGATGTCGTTAGCAGTGAAATATGACAGGCTGCCTTCCTTTGATTGTTGTCTTATGTTAGATGTGACTCTCTAGTTGAGAGTCGCCGTTGTTTGAATTTCACACTGATCACTCTGTCACTAATGGGCATGAGCGGCCTTGATGGACAACCAAGGCTAGAGTATTTGAAATGTCTAATCTGTGTCTCCAGCGAGAAGGCAGGTGATCCCTGCAGCAGCTCTTTATCATTTTAAGTGCTGAGTCTGGAGGCTGCCTCCAGCTGTCCACGTCTGTTTACTGCTGGAGGCGTTCACACAGGGAGAGAGAGTGTGTTTGAACAGCAGGTAGTCATTCAGAGCTGCTGTTTAGGTTATGTACACTTTGCACAATAATAATTTAAAATAGGGCTGCAACATATTTTCATTATCGATGTATCTCTGTTACTGTTTTTGGATAATTGTTAAATATATGAAATGTCAGAAAATACTGAAAAATGCATAAACTTATTTAGCAGAACCCAAGGTGATGCGTTGAAATTTTCCCCTTTTTCCCAACCAACAGTGCAAAAGAAATTCACTCTACAATGAATATAAAACAGAAATGAAATAAAAAAAATTCACATTTGAGAAGCTGGAACTAATGTTTGGCATTTCTGCTTAATACATTCCTTAAATAATTAACAATATATTACACAGTTTTAAAGGGACTTTAATAAGCATAAGCATTTTATATACGCCAATTTAAGCACTCCAGAGGCTTGACAGTCTTTAGTTCAAATTCATTTAGTAAGTTGGGATATTAAAGCAGCATTAATAAAAATTGTGTGCTTTGGGGCACCTTACAACGTTGTTATGGTTAATATGTTGGCAAAGCGTTGCCTATTTCCACATGCAGCAGACAAGGAACAACATTAGCATTCATTTGGAGTCGTGCTTCTGGCCACCTGACAAATACAAGTCCAATATTCATTCTCCTTTTACCTCTGTTTTTGGTCTCCACCAAGGGGCAGCCTCCTGGGCGGACAAAGGAAGCTAACGTGCAAGTGCCAAAAACCACCATGTTAAAATGGACAACTTTACAGCAGAAATAAACATGTAGTACAATAATTTTTTATATATATAAATAATTCACCTGTTTATATAAAATTAAGGCTTGAAGTAATGCATAGGTGAGTGCTGGCAACCCCTTTCTTGTTACAATATTTATTTGATCTATTGTTAATATAAAAATATTGATTAGTGCAGATTTATAATAAGTGATGGAGGGCACAGGGTGATGATGTAACAGATGTTTTTTTAAAAGGACACATACCCCTGTCTATATCTGTGGAGCTGAGGTAGAGCAGGTGAATAGTTTTAGGTTCAGCATCACAGAGAACTGGACATGGTCATCTCACATTTCCACACTGGTAATGAAAGCTCAGAAACGGCTGTATTTCCATGCCAAGATTTTGTTAACTTTTAGAGAGGGGCAATACAAAGCATCCTGACTGGAAACATCACAAACTGGAATGGGATGTGCACGGCCCAGGACTGGAGGGCTCGGCAGCGGGTGATTAATACTGCTCAGAATATCATTAGTACCCATCAGTGATATTGGTGAGGTGAGTCTAAAGGATTCTAAAAGACAGTACCCACCCCAGCATCAACCTGTTCACCCTGCTGCTGTCAAGCGATAAAGAAGTATCCATTGTCATACCACCAGACTACAGAGCAGCTTCTTTGCCCGGTCTGAAAGACTCCTCAATTCATTCTCAGCACTCCACCATGCAAAATAGCTTTATTTCTATGACTCTTTGTTCATTCACCCAACTACTGTATATATACAACTCTGTGTTGTAAAATTATAAGTAAATCTAGCTTGTAATTGTTCCAGCACCGAAGGCAAGGGACGCTCATGATTCAGGTTTAATATGCAGAAGTTGAAATTTACTGCTGTAAACTCTGTATCAGAAGCTGTAAATAGTTAAACACATCCTCCTCCTGACTTCTATTCAGATGTTTTATCCATCCACTCCAAAGTGTTGTCGCGTTAAATCCCTTCACACAGCACTTATTGGTGGGATGTGGAGTGAAACTGATGGAGATTTGTCATTTATAGTAGTTGTTATGGGTTTGATTACACAGACTGAAAATAAATCATCTACTGAGTCCGAATCTACTGAGACTGAAGATGTCAAGAGTTCAGAACATTAGTCAGTTTCTGTCTATTGTGTACATTTAATTGGAAAAGGTGCTGCACTCTCTTCCACCCCTGCTGTAGCTAAACAGCAGCTACAGTACTTTCCTGGCAAAGGCAAACTGCTGTCAGACTGCCCTCAACTAACTTTGCACTTTTAATAACTGTGTGACCCAGTTTGAATCCAATTGAATTAGATCTATACGCATTTATAGCAGCTCCACTTACAGCTGTAAGTCACTTGAGATTACTTATGAAATGCCTCCCCATGTGGTTTATTCTCTCCTCAACTTTCAGAATATTTTCTTTTGATGGTTCTCCGATCCAGGAACTTGCTTTCATGCTGTTCATGTGCCCTTTACAGTGGCAGCGCTGAAAACGGGCAGTAACTGCCTCACAAACAACATTGTGTTGTCAAAGTCCCTTTTTGCCCATTCTGTAAAATGTATTTAAACTTAATACATGACATAATTGCATATACACATATTTAAGTGTCCTCTTCCCCGTTTCATGTGTCACTTTTCTCATGAGCTCAGATGTACAGGCTTGCACAACATACGAATTAAACATACACAAGTTTATTACAAAACAGAGTATAATGACAGTAATAATTATCATTATAAAGTATGCCTACCTCTACAGAATCTATGTGCTTACATATCCACACGTAGACACCCTTAGTGAAGGGGTAGCTGAGTATGGATTGAAACGTTGTAAAGAAATATGTCATGTGATGTCATGCAGCACATTATGCTTTACAATATAAAGTTGTATTAAGTCTAACGCTTGTAGTGTTTCTGTAGTTTGTTTTTATCTTAATATTATGATTAAATGAATGAACATTTAAAACATATCATCAAACCATTTCTGTCATTATGTGGCCGTTGTCATATAAGCTGCTTGTATGTTATGTCCGTTTGACAGAAGAGTGCTTTTGTAGCAGATTATTAGATTATATGATCATGTTTCAGTCATTTATCAAGAAAAAAATGCCAAACATTCATTTGTTCCAGCTTCTCAAATGTGATTTCCCAGACTGTTGGACAGGCAAAACAAGCAATTATGAAGATATCCTTGGACTTTGGAGAAGTTGTCATTATTTCTTACATTTTATCGTAGTAAATAATATATTAAGTTATCAAACATAATGAACAGTGAATCAGAATCAGCAAGTATTATTGCCACGTAGGTTTACACTATAAAGAATTTGCTTTGGTCACTTGTAATTTTGGTGCATAGCAATAAACATAAACCTATATAAATATATGAAATTGACAAGATATACAAAATATTGAAGAATAATAAAGACAATATTGCAGTTATTGACATGGAGACATTGTAGATAAAAGTAATAAGCTCTAGGGTGCTTTCAAGTGCAAATATTGATCACTGATTATGTGTTGCAGGTGATCGATGAACATTGCAGCAGGATGGAAAGTGTTCACTGTGGCTGGCTGATGAAGAAACTCTCAGTAGACAGCAAAGCACTGCGGTGAAACAAGTTTCCATCAGATGATGAACATGAATGGACTTACAACAGAGTATGTTTGCTGAACGTTTTCTTCAAATCAGTTGGAAAATGAACATTTGTTTGGGTTGTGTTTTCCCTCACGGTGGCAGGAGGTGCTATATATTTTAACATTCTGTTTAAATCTGGCAGGAGTAAATAAATGTGTAAAGCATCCACCCTTGGCCTGTTGCAATTAACTGTTGTGTACCAGGAATTCCTGAAGCGGTCGTTAGTTGTTACATCACGTGAGAATATGTGTTGCCACGATAAGCAGCTCGTGATGGGCCTTATGAGCTATTTGTAAGACAGAGGAGGGATGTGCTGTGCTTACATTTGTAGACAGCAAATATTTACAGATAAGCAACCTTTCAAATTTAGCTGCCTGCAGTCTTGTCTGACGTTATTCAAATGAAGCTTTCCTCCCTTCAACTCTATGCTTGGTGAACAGGATAGATATGTTTTATCAACATCTGCCTAGAGAGGAACAGGGGGGAACTGATGACATCAGTTAATCTCTTTACAATGAAAGTCGCTCTTCCACAGCGTGACTCTGATATGTAGAAGTAGATGTTAAACAAGTTGTGTGGAGCTGCTTCCATATTTAAAATATAAGAAGCTGCATGTCACGTTGAACTCAACTCAAACATTTTTGCTGAAGCAATCATTGGGGGACTGTTATATCATGAAACAATATGCACACACTCAACAAGGAAATAGAAAACAAAAATAAAGTCAATTCAAGCATTACAGCCCATTTTAGTATAAACCCAGCCCAGTATAATATGGTCTGTTTAAAGGCTGTAATAGCAGGAATTTGTCTCATGAATTAGGATTAGGCTCTTCGGTCTATCATGGTTCCATATCACTGCTGTTTCTGCTGATTGGAGAAACAATATATGAATCAGAATGAAATGACAATTCCATCAGTTTATCAGGCTATTTTCAACCTATTGAATATAGCTCAAGTTCAGTTTTGTTGTTATATGGCAATTAGCATTAAAAAGACCAAACCTGCAGCAGTTTTTTTTTCTTCAACTGTCAAAACTTGATGGAAGACATCCTAACCCACTAACCAATCAGTCAAGGAAACAATAAATAAAACATCTGTGTTGTCTTTTGGTCTACATGACTTTATACGACAAGCATCACAACAGTTCATATATACTGTAGATAGATACTGGGTAAATTATCCAATCAGAGGGCCACAAAATGTGGTAAATTAGTGAATGAGCTACCTTGACAACACACACATTGCCATCCAGGCATAAGCAAAAGGATATACTGTGTGTGTGTGTGTGTGTGTGTGTATTGTTAACAAAGATAACATTACAAGAAAGGAAATTCTGGATCAGTGATTCGTTCATTTATCTGTTACATGTGTACTGGATGCATATGAACTGTGATGCTTCATGTATCTGATGAAGATCTGTTGACTGTGGAGGCCATTGTAGTAAAGTGAACTCATTATCATGTTCAAGAAACCAGTTTGGGCTTTGTGACATGGTGCATTCAAGTTGTACTCACCACTGACTCGCCTGTCATTGTCCATACAGACCTTTTCATTTTTTTAAGATTGGTAGTAGGGGAAAAAACAAACATACCAGCTGATAAAAGCTGATAATAAGCTGAAACTTTGTATTGGTATTTTCTGTATTGTAAGACAAATACTGTGCAAAAGTTTTATTCTTGTGTGAAAAAATGCTATAAAGTAAGAATGCTTTCAAAAATGGAGATGTTAATAGATTATATCTATGAATTAACAAAAACCCAGTTGTATTCTTCCTATACTGCTGTCTCTGTTTCTGTTAATGATTATGTTTCAGCCTACATATTGAATTGTTAATCATACACCTGACGATATGCCTACACAATCCCTGACTTTGTGCAAGTATACCTAGAGGAATTGATGCTGTTTTAAAGGCAAAGGGTGGTCACACCAAATATTAATTTGATTTTCTTCTGTTCATTCACTTGGCATTTTGTTAATTTATAAATATAATCTATTAACATGTCTATTTTCCACACCTGCCTGAAACCTTTGCACAGTACTGTATGTCTTTACCACCATTCTAAGCACGGACATTTGAGCACCTCATTGTTTTAGCAAATAGAAAATTTGTATTTTAGCATTTGACAACAACATCATGTGACTCTCGGCCACAGAGGGGCTGTCAAAGCCTCATAGGAGCATGAGGTGTTTAGCTGAATCCCGACAAGATGATCTGAGGCGTTAACTGTGACGCAATTTCATGGCAACTGCTATTCACCACTGTTATCGAGACGGAGAGGCACAAGGTTGTTACTGCTGCATTTGAAGAGATGGCCAGGTCACGGCTGAAATTATGAATCTGGTAGAGACATTGATCTCTGACTGAGAATTCAATCTCACCAGTGGAGCACAATCATGCTACAAAATAATTTTTGCCTTTGCCTCATGTACTGTAGAGATAAAAATGGTTTGCTGTGAATCCTAGCCCTTCGAGGCTTCTGGTCACTGTGCTGCTACTTCAGATATTGATGGAGCAGGAGAGGCAAGCTCATAATAGTTGTTGCAATTAAAAGAAATGTCCCTTTGTGTCTTCTCATCCCTAAAACCTACCATCTTAAGAGATGAACCACTCAAAGCTTTCATCAACATGTTTTCCATTTGCCTTTGCTGTTCTTGCACATGTAGGATTCCCTCGGGAGACTCCCTCCGCCACAGTCCAGATGCAGGCTTCCCAATAAGATCTCAGCTCTCAAACAATCTTTAAAAGTTAATGGTGCCAAGCAGAATACAGACTTTAAATGTTTCTATGTGAACCAGTTCAGCTGTGTGACTGTTAATCTGCTGCACATTCCTCCTGATGATGACATGGCTGATGACAACCTCTTGATTAACACATCATGTTCAGCACCTCATAGTGTTGACGTGCACAGCTGGCTGATGCTGCAGGACATTTATCCTGCTGCCCTTGCCTCTTAATTTTGGAGCTCTGCACACTCAGGAAAGCCTGCGTCTGCCACATCAACTACTTTGATGCCAGTGTCAGAGTTAGTTTGGCCAGCTAAGCAGCATCCTGGGAATGTGACCCTGCCCCTGGCTTCTCAGTCTCGGCCAATATTGGTAACCTTAAACTCAAATGAATCTGAGCAGAGCAGTGGATTATGTTTATCTTCATGGGGATGAAATAGAGAGCGGAGGGAGCGAGGGCATGGAGAGTTTAGGGAGCGGCAGGAATAACGTGGGCAGACTTAAAATGATGTGCAGGTACAGCAAAACCCTGCAGGTCACAGACTCCTGAAGAAAAAGTCTTGCAGCAGCAGATAAAATACATCACATATTTCACCTCCTCCACATCCTCCAGATCCATCCTTACATTAAAGTGTTGTGCAGACAGTCATTGTTCAATCCCATGAAAGATTGTTTACATTTTTTGTCAGGGACTCATGCAAAGTCATGCATAAGACATCTAGTTTTCTGGTTGATGTAGTGCTTAAGTAAATGTGGTGTTATTTTGGAGAGAGGTGAAGGATTAAATGATTGCTTTGGTTATAATCAATCACCTCTTTAATGTACTTTAACAGCCAATATAGATTATTCAATATAGATTTTCTCCCTGAATGTAAAACGGTACCACCTCTGAAATTGACCTACACCTCTCATAAACATCTCACAGGATTCATCAAGATATGCACCTACACATACACCAAACATATTGCCTGTAATCTGCCTTGTAATGTCCGTGTGAATTCTGTATGCACTAGGATCCAACAGCAGCTCTTCTTCTTGAGAAGACTCCAACAGAAGGTATTGATATTATTGCTGTGATAGTGAGTGTAGTACATTACAGAATCATATCTTGGTTTGGTTACATATCAATTGGGGTAAAATCACAAAAAAAAAAAAATAGTCTGGTCCACACATGAATGAAAGTGGTGGTGGGTGAAAATAAAGTAATCTTGAATCTTGATGTTTGCCTTGGTCCTTGAAGTAATCTTTCCAAATATTTGAGGAAACTATTGGGACAAAGGTTGGACTAAAATAAAGGTCCGGGCTAATCCATAATCAACTATTATATTATATTATATTGAAAAATAGTTTTGCAATATGCACTGCTAAAGTACAATATCAACTCATAACAAGGGTCTTAAAGAAATAGTTTGATGTTTTGGAAATACGCTTTTTTTTTCTCACTGGACACAGAGGGAAACTGTACTCTCTAGTGCAGAGTGTAATCCCAGGTACTCGTTTTTTGAGAGAGATTCAAATTTTACAGTAAAACACCTTATGGAGACAGACCCACTCTAACACATTTCCGCTCTGTGCTGCTAATGAACCAATTAAGAATGAAATGGAGCTAATTTTAACATAATTTTAACCTCATTTACCCAGAGGCCACTCCCTAAGTGACCCTCAGCAATCCATGGATGCCAGTTTTAGCCCCACTGCCTTATGGTATTAGCTAAATTGCAGCAATTTCACATTTGTCACATTTCTTCCAACTTCATTGTTAATTCACTTCTCTGTCTGTCTCTGTTACAGAGCTTAAATCTGGTAATAGACAGACAATGGCCTTTTTCCAAAAAAACAACAACAACATTTTAATACAATGTATAAAATGATCATTGTCATTATTAGTACAACAATAAACATTTGTTCCTCTTATATGATTCATTTGCAGTGTGACTATCAGGATGTGTGTGTGTGTGTGTGTGTGTGTGTGTGGGCTGTAGTATATAAGCCTCAAAAAGACACTAAAATAGTGAAACCAAGTAAGCAGAAATAAGTGATTAGTGCAGGGTCTGATCTCTCCTTTAACTCTCTCTCTCACACACACCCTCTCCTCTCTCTCTCTCTCTCTCTCTCTCTCTCTTTCTCTCTCACTCACGGTGTCTCTCTCATTTCCATTCAGTCTGTTGTTGAAGCAGAAGCAGCAGTCTTGTATGTGGATCCTTGGTAAGAGGACAGCTGCAGGAGATACATCCCGGACCAAACTGCCCCGAGCAACATGATCGTTGTGAGAATCGTCGCTTGCCTGTGTCTGATGGTGGGCTTCTCGCTCCAGGTGGACGTGCAAAGTGGGAAAGAGGCAGCAAAAGCCGGGAATTTCATGGAAGATGAGCAATGGCTGTCAACCATCTCCCAGTACAGCCGTAAGATCAAACACTGGAATCGCTTCAGAGACGTGAGTGGTGTATTCACTGTAATTATAAAAGCGTGGTGTCGTATCTCACTGTGATTGAGATGCTCTCTCTCTCTCTCTCTCTCTCTCTCTCTCTCTCTCTCTCTCTCTCTCTCTCTCTCTGTGTGTGTGTGTGAGTGTGAAGAAGCGCTGGTTGTTTACTCAGGTGATTTTGCGCACAGTTAACTGTCGCTCTGAAGTGCAGACAGGCGCAATATTATCAGTTTGTGCAGGAGAAATCCTTCAAAAGATGGAAATATTACACAGGATAGTATGTACAAAGATTGCAGGTCCGCAGAAATGCGCGCTCGTGCTCATGCCTCATGAAATGATCGATAAATTCAATCTTTTTTTTTTTGCAAGGTGCCTTACCTGTTTTCTCATAGCATTTCTTTCATTTGCACTTGAATTAGCAGACATGACAAGACAGACTACTATTTTTTAATGTAGGCTTATGTTTATAGTTAAATTGACACTCTTATTTATGGACCTTCTTATATCAGAGTGAATAGAAATACAACTCTTTTTGACATTAGGCCAAGTCTCAAAAGCCATTTCCAAGCATCTTCTGGTTAACTGTGATATTTCAAATAGTGTCTGTATTCTCTGATCAGTACCCATTGATCTGCTATATTGCACATGAAATGTAAGGCTCACAGTTAGGAGGCTTCCAGAGATTTCAGACTGAAAAGTCACACAGCAAGACAGCAATCAGTTGTGTATTCTCTTAATCCCAAATATCAAATATAAGGGAACTAACATTTCTTATTCCCTTCTGGATCTGTTGTCCAGACCTATTTTGGGGCTGTAAAGGGACAGCTTTGATAATTCTGTTCAGCCATGCCAGGAGGACTAGACATGGACAATAAATGAATTTATCAAATTACAAACAGTATGAATCTCCTACACACCTAAATTTACTCCTATGGTAATTAGAGCTGAAACAATTATTAGTCAATGTACTGTTTTTCTAGTTCATGCTTCTGAAATTTGAGATTTTCCTGCTTTTTTTCTTTGGGCATTTTGTATTTTTGACATTTCATAGATTAACCACTCAGTGAACTAAATAATCATCAGATTTATAGAATCTGAAAATAATCCAGATCGCATGGCCTAACCGCAATCTTTATGTAATAAATTGTTTAAATCCTATATAGTTAAACTGATAAAAGCTACAACAAACAATAACATTTAATGAAGTTCAACCAGCTGGCCACCTAGTCCAGGTACAAGGTACAAGGTACAATGTACAATGTCATTATACAGCACAAGGCTGCATAACGAAACAAAATTTCCTTCGTGCTACACATACAACATATAATTAAGTGTAGGCCTATATTAAAATATGGTAACGTATAAAATAAAACAAAACAGTTATTTATATACATATACAGACACGTATAACTTACACCCCAAACAGTCCACAGTGCATTTTTTGAATTTGTATCTGGGGTGAATGTAAGTAGTAGTAGTATGAAAGTTACACCTTCACAATAAACAGTCTGACATTTGGGAAACAGAGTCCATCTTGACTGCGTTTGTGCACCAAGTATCATCTAAGTAAAACACAGAGTCCACCTCTCATCTTGGCAGAGTCTTGCACTGGCAGCTTGGAACATGGACCACCTGCCGATGTTGGTGGGGCAGGTCTCTGTAACGATGTGGGCACAACAGTCTCTGAAATCCGTTGCTTGTTCAATATGAGTCCCATTTTGTCCAGACTGGCTCTTAAGGAGCAGAATTAAGTCCAAGCTGGGCCAGCATGGCTCCTCTCATGGTTCTCTTTCCTCTCCTCTAAGCAATCACCCCACCCGCCGTGGTGCCTGGTCCGGTTGTTTGGAGCGGATGGATCGTGGTCTGCTGCTCTTTAATCCAAAAACCCTGTCTTCATCTTACAATGACTATACTTATGCGAGAGGTAACACATGTTTTGGCAATAAAGACTGAAAAAAACAGATAAAAAACAAAAGTGTAGCGAGGTACCATGTAACAGGTACATTTTAAAGTCTGTATACCTCACTGCTTTCAACTCACTGGAATCATTTTTATGTAAAAGGATTATGAGAAACTGACTGGGCATCCTGCTAACTGAATGAATGTAACTGATAGCGGAAACATAGATTTTTTATGACGTATGACATAGAAACTGTTTTTACCATGAGTTGGTCACCTCATAGCCGATACCGGGTCCATTTATTAAGGTCAGTATCAGTGCTGATACTGATCTCGTACCTCTAATAGCTAAATCTATACTATCATACACATTTCTTTCAGAAGTGAAGAAAGGAAATATATGCACTAATAAACACTCAGTTGCCAGTTAACCTAAATCTGTTTAGTACAACAGCCCTACAGCAGGTTAAAATGTTATGGAATTGTTTTAGAAAAGTGTTGATTCAACTTTATGGTGATTTTGGATACTGATATTTGCGGGGTTGTTCAATTAGATTGTGCTATACTCCTCATAGCTGATCCTAATATTTAAAAATTTTGAGCCTTGCCTTTAAGTCTCTCCTGTCAGCATCCAAGAAAACACATCGATGGGCGATGGGGAGACTGTGAGCATTGCAAGGAGTCAGGAGGTTATGGTGTTAGGATGTAGTTCATTGGTAGCCTATAGCAGTGACACCTCCCTGGTACCAAAAGACAAAATGCATGGCATGAATCAAGATGTGAGGGGTCTCTGAGGAGGAGTCGGTTAGCAACGGCTCAGATCCAAGGCTCTACCTTGACAACCGGACAGTCGTTTGATCTCATTGCTGAGAAATATCACCTCAGACAGATAGTCTTATCGGTGTCGGCCAGACACAAGCTGTATTAATTTGGGCCATGCTTGGTGGCATCCAGGAATGTGTCCTACTATCCTGGACCCCTGAGAGCCCAGTGAGAATATATAATTGAATTGCAAATTTGTGTTGTCATGCAAATTCTAATATTATCATGCTGGTTATGGGAGGGGTTTCCTCACCTGTTTGTTTGGAACGGTGCTTGACTGACAGAGGGGGTGAACAGGGAGGAATTGGGCCTTTCTGTGTAGGTTTTTGGCGGCATATTTGGGACATGTACAACGACATGTCCTGAGAAGAAGAAGAAGTTAGTTATTAGATGCATCTTCAATCCTTTTGAATTCAGTTATATCTGGATTCTGACGTTGACACATATGCAAAATGTTGAAAGAAATATTCACCTCATGCAATTCACACCCCCGAAAAAAGGTATTGCATGATACAGTGTGATAACATGAGATTTGTTAATAGTGGGGGGAAAAGTCGCAGCAAATAGAGAGGCCCCCAGCTATACAGGAGATTGTAGTGTATACAGTGTCTGTTAGGGCTTCAACTAATCGACTAATCAAATACTACTAAGACTAATTCTCATGTGAGATAAATATGAAAAAGGCAATCACATTTTTCCCAGAGCTCAAGGTGACAACTTCATATCCTTGTTTTTTTCCAACGAACAGTCAAAAACCAAAATATATAGAATTTTCAATGAGATTAAACTGAGAAAAGCAACACATCCTTTTTGATAAAGGTTTTGAGAAGCTAGAGCAAGCAAATGTTTGACATTTTTGCTTGATAACCGAAATGAAATAGATTATAAAATTTTGTACCTACTTTGTACAATGCTTTGGACAAAAGTGTCTACCAAATGAAAATGTAAAAATGTGATTCCTTGATTGGCAAACTGATTAATCTACTCATCATTTCAAGTGTCTGTAAAAGGTTTTCACCCCAAAGAGTTTTTCCTGTTTTATTGATATACAGCTTTGAATCCCAGTGGATTCAAGGGGCTACCTGCAACAATATGCGAAACCCGTAGTGACAAATCTGGGTGTGAAAATAGACAATGGTTTTAAACTTGATAAACAGATAAATAATGTTGTTAAATCCAGTTTTATCACCTGAGGCTTTTATCTAAAATCAAACCTGTTTTATCTCGTAAGCACTTTGAACATGTGATTCATGCTTTTATTTCAACTCGTCTGGACTAGTGTAATGCACTTTACATTGGCGTTAACCAAACCTCTCTCTCACGCTTACATTTAGTACAAAACTCAGCCGCTCGTCTTTTAACTGGAACTCGCAAGCATGAACACATTACACCAGTGCTGGCCTCGCTCCACTGGCTCCCAGCCCATTTTAGAATACATTTTAAGATCTTATTGTTTGTTTTTAAGTCACTGAATGGGTTGGCATCTCGCTACATCTCAGACCTGTTACAAGTCTACACCCCCTCATGGTCACTTAGGTCTACTGACCAACTTCAGCTGGTTGCTCCAAAAACCAGGTTAAAAACCAGGGGCGACTGCGCTTTTTCAGCAGCAGCCCCTAAACTGTGGAATGAGCTACTACCTCCACGGGTCAAATTGGCCCCGACCCTCGAATGTTTTAAATCCCGTCTTAAAACCTACTTGTATTCCTTGGCTTTTAACCCAGCATGAGAGCTGTGTAGTCTTGTTGTTTTATGTGTTTCTATGTATTTTTATGTTTTATTTCTTGTTCAGCACTTTGTAAACCTTTGTTTTTTAAAATGTGCTATATAAATGAAATGGATTGAATTGGATTGAGTATGAAGGTTGGTCAGTTTCAATAAAAACAAATCTGTAAAACCATAAAAGATTAAAAAGAAACAGTTGTGGGGGTGGGTACTTTTTATATCAACTGTGTGTCCGTGTATTTGTGTGTGTAGTAAAATGTGTGTAGTGGTATGTAGTCAAGACCTCAAACGGTATTCATTAAAGATTCAAGTACAGCATATATAATTAAAGTGAAGTAATTACAACAAGTAATGGAGTGAGGCATGGGACACAAGTATATGAGCACACACCACATTTCATAAAAAGCAAGCTAGTTTTATTTTCAACATTTCTCATTTAAAAGGAAATAAGCAGCCTTGTTGTTAACAATACGTTTGCAGCCATGTTGGATTGTTAACAAGACCTTGTCCATTGCTGTTATATGGCAACAGTAGGATGCTCATGCAATGATGCTTTCAAGTTT